TAGTAAATTCATGCCCCTCAATTCTATAAATTTCTAGATACATAAATTCTATATATAAATAAAATATGAATGAAATAGATATATTGTCTACATTTATAGTCTAAAAATGATTCTTGTGTTTTCCCATGTTATTCTGGCTGTTTTGTTTACCTCTGAATAGCCCCTCCTCTGGGGGGAGCCGTGAAGTCCCCACTCGGGTCCTACGTCTCCTGCCCTCCCTCCCTCTGGGCCCCCGCTTGTCACATTGCAAGTTGTGATTTTATTTTCCTTTTTTAGCCTAATAAAGTGTGTGTGTTCCTGTGTGTGCTTGTTTGTGCTCCAATAGAAACTGACTTAAAATTCTTTTAGGGGTGCCACTACTGTCTAAAAGTCAGTATTTTTTTTCCCCCATTGTAGTGCAAAGTTATAAATACCTGAAATTGGCATTTCAGTTGAGGATTTTTTCTTTAGTTAATTGTGACTCTGTGGATTGAGCTGAGCGTCTAATGCATTGCCAAATAGGGGTACAGCACTAGAAAACTTCAATTATGTAAATTTTATGTTATAAGAATAGATGGCTTCTTTCTGATTATTTTTGAGAAAAATGGGTTGCTACCTTGCCTAAACATTACGCTTTGTAAACAGGCCAGTGTTTAGATAAAATTACTGCTTTGTTTAGCATATTTAACTGCTAATTGTTCACATCTGATTCATAAACACTTCCCTTTCTCCATGGCAAGTTAAAAAATATAATGTTCAGAGGGAATTTTAATAATTACTTGTATCAACATACTCATCAACAGAGTGGTCTGCCCTGTTACTATAGCCGGATACGCTCCTGGGAGTGCATCCACTGAACTACATTTTGGTCAGCAGAGAACATGTCTCTTTGTAAAACAGTTCTGAAAATAAGAATTTTTCCAATTTAATAACATGAACTTGAGCACCACTGCACCACCAGCACCAGACTTTTGAATCACAAGAAAAGCAAAGACAACTGTCTGAGTCTGCTCTTCTGAACTAGAGAACAGGGCACACACCCAGTGGAGAGTCACGGTAACTAATTAAAAATGGAAACGAAAGCTCTTGACACTAAACACAGTCCACAGATTATAAGTAAACTGGATTCTGTGTCTCCATGAGAATTGCTCCACCTTGTGAGAGAAATGGTTCATTCTTCCTTGGGACACTGTCTTCTGCCCCCAGATCACTGCTGACTTGAGTGAGCCTTCCTCCAAGGGCTTTTTGTTCCTTCAAGTCTTTCTGTATGCAGTTTTTGATACAATTCTCCCCTCTTTCTATTAAAAGCGGTCTAATCTGTCAACTCAAGTAGGTTTTAAGATTAGGAGAGAGAAGGGATATCCATTAGAGACTAAATTTACAAACTAACTTACGGGAACAGCGGCCCAAGACGGAGGCCTGAGCTTGAAGATGGGGCAGGAACGTAGGAAGATTAATCATTTTTTGCACATTTAATGTGAGCCAGAAGATGGTTTTAAAATATTCTCTCACCTATTTATTGATTTATCAAATGCTTCCATGACATTCTCTGTGCCAGACTGTTGTCAGTCCTTCACAGATATTCATTTTAGCAATTCTTGTAAGTCTTGCATAAACATAATAAGCGTGTATGCATGATGGCCATTGTTATCTTTATTTTAATCAGCAGGAAACTGAAGCACAGAAAGTTTAAGTAGTTTGCCTAAAGTCACACAGCAAGTGTCTCGGCCAAAAATCAGCCCCAGGCAACCTGGCCATTCATCGCGGTGCTCTGCCATCACTGAGGCTTCACAGAGGCCCTCTGAGGTTGGCGTGTATTATCTCCACTTCTTGGTGCAGATCCTGAGTATGGTTAAAAAACTCAGGATTGGCCTTGAACTTCCTTTCCTCACCGAGTTGGCTCTTCCTCGCCTTCCTCTTCTCACTGATGCCATCACCACCCACCTAGACATCCAAGTCTGACACCCAGAGATAATTATGCTTTTCAGTCTTTCCTGCTGAGCATCTGAGCCCTTCTTTTAATCTCCTCCACCACTCTCTTAAATAAGGCCCTCATTATTCTGTAATAAACCACGAATTGTAATCTCAAACGGCAGCCGAAAGCAGGCAGGTGGAGGAAGCTGGGCCCGAGGCAGCAGAGGCGTAGGCTCTGGGCGGATGCTGTGCTGCAAGGGGGCTGCTGCCTCTCTGGTCCAGCGGTCCGTCTCCAGGGGGGAGTGTGGGCTCCTATTTGACAGACCTGATTTTTAAAGAGGAACCAGGAATCTGGATTTTTTATATGAAATCTTCCAATTCTAAATCGGTGCAAGCCAAAAACAAAAAACATGGCTGCAGGCTACCAGGTTGTAACCCCTGATTATAATTGAGCCCCCAAACTGATTTGCCCTCTTCCATTCTGATCTCCTCCAGCCTTTTGCCACCCTCCCTACACTGTCATAATCTATCCAAGATGCAGTCAGATAAGATTTTAGGGGCTGTCAGGAGGTTTAAATGCATTAAAATATGTAACATTCTTAGAAGAGTTCTTGGTAGTGGGTAGGCAACTAGATAAAGGTTACGTGTTGTCTGTTCTTCACTTAAAAGCCTTGAATGACTCCCAGTGAGGCTCTGGATATTTTTTAGTGTGGCAGAAAAGGTGTTTTATTGTTAGTCCTGTCTTCTCACCTTCATCTTTTACTGTTTCACCACATGGCCTCAGGCCATCCTCTACACCCACATGTGCCCGCACGCCCCTCCCTCCTCTGCCCTGTCCAGCTGAATGGCGAACTCCTACTTTCCCAGCCATCTCAAGACGCAGTTCAAGCATCTCCTCCTCTCTTGAACCTTTAACTGCACTTCCCCTGGGAGAGCTGACTTCTCCCTTTGTGTTCCCATAAGGTTATGAACCCCTAAGTGCAGGGACTATTTCATTAATATTTGTATTCTTACTGCTTTCTGCAGAGCTGGCACATAGTATATGTCTGTGGTAATATTGGTTGGAAGTAATAAAAAAGTTAGTCTGGGACTTACACTCCTACATAATTGTGAATTTCTTGCTGTTTGGATTGTACCTTGTAAAGAAAGAAGCTGTGGCTGCTTTATCGTTAGGGACCCAGCACCTGCCTATCCAACCTGAGGACCTGTTATAGCCCAGGGCATTACGGCTGCAGTTGATGATGAATTTAGGACTTTTACTCCAAGGCAATACAGTGGCATTAAGGATTCTCTTCCCTCTGATAAATAGTATGTGAAAACAAAGGTGAAATCACCAGTTAAATAGTGTGTTTCACCAGTCAGTGAAAGCAATTCTGTTTTCCTTCTTTAGAAGTTTGATGGTAAATGGTTGGAGACACTACCTCTATTTATAGATGTTCTCAGTGCCAGATTTGTTATCTCCTTTCCCCAGGCTTGATAAAGAAAGAATGTTGGACTCAACTATTGGTAGTGTCTCCATTAATGAATAGGGGAGTCTGGAGAAGACATGTGAGCAGGAAATTCAAGGGAACCTAGTGTTGTTTTTATCAGTCCAGGAATTCTAGACTTGCAAATTCTATCCTGTTCTCATTTTCTGGCTAAAGAAAGGGCTTTAATGAACGACAAAGAATAGTGTTAAATTCTTTAGAGGAATACATTTGCAATATAATAGGTGCCAGTCATCTAGATCATTCTTTGTAATAATTTGGTGACTCCTGTTAGTTCTGGTTAATTTGAAATTTTTAAAGCTTATTTTTGTCTGGTTAGAAGGAAATAATTTTTTCTTAATTTTAAAGCTAATCTCTAAAAGATACTTACTGGAGAGTAAGGGTGGGATCTTTGGCTTTTCTGCAATTGTATCTCTCAAGAAGGATTTGTTTCTGAAGACTGACATAACACTGAAGGAGTCTGTAGTTTTCAACACAAAGGAGATTAGTGTATATGAAACATGTAATTTAAAATCTACTAGATTTGAGTTGTTACTAACCATCGTTTACAGGATGCCTACTGTGTGCTTAGGACTTTGCCAGGTGCTGTAATACTTCAGTCACAAAGATGAATAGACACAGGATTTGCTCTGATTTGGTTTTTAAGCAAAATATAAAGTTTATACATAAACTTACATGTATGTGTAACTAGAATGGAAAGAGTCATGATTAAATTATCAGTTTCAGATTAAATAGCAGTAATCATGATTAAATTATATATATATTTCTGGAAGTTATTTTTCATTACTTGATATCCACTTCTGGGTTTTGGAGTTAAATTGGTTACATCTTATGATGAGAGAAATCTGTCTTCTGTTTATTCCTTTTTTTTACCCAACTTCATATTTATTTCTGTACTGTTAATGCAAACAATTTATATTTAGAATTGTTTCGAATTCCCTAACAATTTTTTATGTTTCACAGAAACTTCCCCGAAAGTTTTGCTCAGTGATATTTCTTTGCACCTCTAGCCCCCCAGGTTTGCCTCGTTCTGGGAAAGCCCAGGCAGCAGAGTTCAGTCCCGTCCGCCTCCAGCTGCTTTAAAGTGGGCAGAGGTGCTCTGGGCAAGGTATCAACCAGTCTTTATTCACTTACTTTAAAGGTTCCGCCAGGTCCTGATGCCATTAAACAGTTAAACTGAATAGCTGTGCTCCTTGTTTTGATGCCAGGCTCACCAAGCAGCCTTCTGATCCCAATTAAGGCTTTGCACCTGACTTGCCTGCAAGGATGGGGGAGGCACTGTTTCTTATTGCTCAGTTTATTGGGTAAATCAGTCAATTGCTATTATGTCTTATATATCAGTCCCTTGTGGACTTTGTTAGGATAAAGTGGCTTCCAGAATTTGACTGCCCTGGGCCACTGGCACTTGAAGGCCAGACCTTGCCCACCGGCAGGCGGGAGCAGGGCAGCCTGTTCTAGCAGCCGCTTGGCAGCCAGTCGGCTGCCCTCCCAGGCTGCCCTCTGCACTCATCACACATCTTTCTTTCTGACTTCTACGGGCATTACTTATTGTTACTACTTTGTGCTTTTTTCAAGAGGAATTATAAAAGATTTTGTTTTTCACCATTTACTTTTTGAAAGGAAAATACAGGCCTTGGACAACTATACTTGGGTCTTGACCTTTTCTCCTCCTGGGCATGGGCAGACCAATTTGAAATTCTCTCTCAGCTGCAGATCTTCTGGACAAATCACGAAGCACTCTAAAATCTATTCTAAGGTACTGCTCTTGTTGGAGCATCTGAGTTCTTGTCTTTTTTTCCCTAAATGTTTGTTGAAAAGAAGTAACAGGTACTTTTTTCTAGTGTTGGAAGAGAATTATCTATAAACTTAAATTTTACATGCCTAACGGAAGCTCCCTAGAATGCTACTGCAAATTGTATACCTACCCCCCTTTTGGGGGTTTGGGATGCAGATAGCCTGATATGATGCTGGGAAGTGTTGCAATAAGAAGCTTGTTTAAGTTAGTGTAATCTAGATTTCCTAAATTTATTTCAATTCCTCAAGTTCTGGTCCATCCCCTCCAGGGCCTCCCGCCCCACCTCCTGCCCTTGCCCCATCCCCAAATCCCAGTCAACAAACATGATTTGAGATGTCTGCCATATGCCATATTCTTGTTCCGCTTTCCTTCTTTGACTTTGATGCATCTGGTTCTGAAACACAGAACATGAAGCCAATGATTCTGAGATTTCCAAAAATGGTTTGGCAGCCTTGCCTTAAATAGCATCCCAAGAGGTCAGCTTAGTGCTTAAGAATCATTTGGCATGATAACTCTTGTTTCATTTATTTTTAATATTTATTTTTTTAAAAACAATACTCATTAAAGCATTTAATACATTAAAAAAATTAAGCTAGGTGCCTAAAATAGTGTCTTACATTTGTATAAGTCACTGTGGCTTCATTGTGTATTATCTCAGATGGCTTTAGATTACACCAGCGAACTAGGCCGAGCAATAATCCCCGTCTGGAAGCAGAGTGACTTCGGCGTGTTGTGGTGATTTGAATAAGGCCATACGATTGACCTGCAGAGGCTGGATTCTGTCTCTACATTTCTGACTCCTAGGTTCAGTAATTTCTTATTCCATAGCTGTTTATTAGCCAGCCTTTAGAATACTTTACTTGTTGCCCATCTTTCAACTCTTACTAAACGGCCAGTACTAAATGCACAGCACCATTTGATAGGTTGACTCAATCATTAATTCGTACTGTGCATCAGATACAGTGTAATTGTTGTGCACACTCACAACTCACAAATGAATCAGGACAAGTACTTGCTCCGTGGCATTCCTAGTTTAGTGGGAAAGACAAGTGGAATGATGGGACCAGTACCGGAGACCTAAGGGTACACGTGCTGGCAAACACGCACGCACGCACACTGACTGTTAGTTCTCTTCTGGTAGGGAGTGTTAGAGAAGCCCCCGCAGTGAGAGTTTAGCCAAACTAGGCCTTGAAGGATCAGTAGGATTCTTGCAAAGAGAGGGCAGGACCTGACTGATTCGGGGATAGGTCATGCGAGAGCTTGAGGCGTGACAGACCAACCACGTGGGTTGGGAGAAGAGTGAGCGGTCAGGAAGGGATGCCGCCCAGGCTGGGAAGGCAGGTTGGAGGCAGCACTTGGACTGCGAACTCCTGATCCACAGCTCACTGCAGGTGTGGCTCTTGTAAGCCTCAGTTCTTTCTAGGGATGCTGTGAGGACGAAATGCAGTCATGCCTAGGGAGTGCCACTGTCAACTCCGCGGGAGAGAAAAGGGAGAACTCGGTAAATAAAACACCACCAAATTCCTGATACATACCAGCACTCAGTGTGTGTAAGTTGTCTTTATCAGGCTAAGCTAATTTGACTTGCTGTTGGTAGTGAAGACACACGGATGATTTTAACAAGTGAAGTGATCAGCTTCTCGTTATAAAAAAATTTAGAGTAGTCAGCAAAGGAACAAGTTTATAATGCTAAAAGAACAGATTCCATTTTAGACATTAAGGTAGAGGCTCATTGAGTATGTTGATGTATAAACCCACTAAGATAACAGTCAGACTGGGAATTTGCCAGTTAAATGTTTACCTTGAACCTGTACTTTACTTGCTTGACGCTGAAGAGCAAGAAAGGTTTTTTTGTTGTTCATTCCATTATCCCTGGAGTCTAGTCCAGCTCAGGTCCACATACAAGGGTCTGTATCTTCATGGAATTAAGAAAAGGAGGGTGTTGGGGAGTAGGTGTCAGGTTTGGGGAATACTTTTAGCTAAGAATGCACCGTTGGGCTCTCCCTCTGGCAATCTGGATCTTCTCTCGGGGGGTCTGTTTGACCCCCATCCAGATGATAGAATCATGCTGGCTTTTTGGCCCAGATGTAGGCTGTGGCAGGCAGAACTCATGGGGTCAGTGCCCACCTGTGGCACCCACCGGAGTCTGTTCCCCTGTGAAGCAGCCATGCTGGTACCTTCCTTATCTTGTCTAATTGTCCCAGTTATCTTCTTCAACCTAGTACTTAGGCTAGCCCAGTGGCTTTTAAAAGCTGGCACTTGAATGGCTTTAAGTAGATACACTCTGTCATGTTAAGGCCACAAAATTTCCCTTTTATCACCTGGCTCGGTTCATACATTTGTGTCTCCTTCCTGCTTCCTACAGGCATTTAATTGTCATTTGAAAGTGAAATGGACCTCATAGCCTGTGGAAGTATACTAGACTTTGTTATTGTACTATCTGAAATGACATAGAATTCAGGATGAAACAGGGCAGCCAGGGACTCCTTCTAAAGGACCTTGTTTCTAAAAGTAGTTTTCTACAACATAGTCATAAGCATTGCTTTAGAAGATGCTTGTGTGCATACTTGATGCAGCACATCACGTTTTGTAGAATTTACATGGCAGAAGCTACTTACTATTTAACTAAAACTACATTATCTCTTAGGGGACTTAAATTTATTGTGGACACAAATATTCACAAAATCTTACAGATCTTATTTAGTAATCAGTAAAACAACAAAATAGAACCTTTCTTGTTTTGAATGCTTATTGAATACAACCTTCTGTATATAAATATGTTCCTTTAGTGTGGACAGCCATTGGTGCCTCTTTACTGTTTTCACCGTGTGTTGCCACACAGAGTTCATTTCTCTTGCTTTGGGAATAGTACAACTTTCTCTCAATTTACTAGCATTGTATTATTTATAATGTGAAAGACTTCTAATGTGTTAGGGTAGAATTTTGCCTGCTAGAAATGAAATAATTTCCAGTGTTTGTTACAGGGATAGAAAGTTTATTTCTCCAGAGTAATTTGTGTTGATATGTTGTTTCAGCTTCTGTTACTATGGCAATGACGGCAGGGACTGCAGCCACCTTTCCTATGAGCAACCATACCCGGGAAAGAGTCACTGTGGCCAAGCTCACGTTGGAGAATTTTTACAGCAACCTAATTTTACAGCATGAAGAGAGAGAAACCAGGTATAGTAAACACTAGTCAAGTTAAATAAGCAGTAATGCTGCAAGTGGAGTGCAAATACATTGTACATTAATAATTTAAATATCATGGGTCCATGTATGCTGTTTTTAAGTTTCTGGTACCACCAGTGTACCCAGTTAATTTTTGTAGAATAGTTTCTTGTCCCATGCACCCACATTCTTATATCACATGTCAGTTGATGTTTTAAACAAAACTTTTCCAACTATGAAATCATGAAGTATCTCTATACTTTCCTTTAGAAGGATGCTTTATGAACATTTTGACTATAATCCCACAGCATTTCTAGTGTGTGTGTACAAGTGGGAATGGAAGAATAAAAACATGAATGACATGTTATTTTGCCTTCAAGAAACTTATAGTAAGGGAGACAATGCACGTAAATATTATATGAAAGAGTGAAAAGTATACTAAGGGCAAAGAAGGGAGAAAATGAAGGCAGTTGGAAGGGCTTCATAAATGGGAGTGGTTTCAACAGAGCCCCAGAGGAAGAGGACTACTTCTGCACGCATAAAAGGGAGAAGAAAGCGGTAAAAGATCAGGGGGAAGCATGTCAGAGACGGAAGAATTCCCGTGTGTGAGGTCAGGCAATGTCCACTTTAGCTCAGGCTGGATTTCCGCATTTCCTGGGGGCCTTGGGTGTTCTGTTAACACAGCCATTCCCATGGGAGCAGACAGCCTTGAAGGTTTCTGAGCAGAAGAATTAAGGGATTGCAGGAGTGTCTCTAGAAGACTACTTCATTTGTGATGTATAGAATGGACTGTGGGACGGGGGTTGGAGACAGGAAAGGCTAGTGATGGCGTCCAGCAAATGGAAAGGAGGCTTGAATTAGGCTTGAATTACTGTGACAACACCAGTAAAGAAGACCTAATGGATAAGAAAGATTGGCAAAATGCGGTAATTGGCCAAATGTACAGTGTGAGAGAATTAAGTTAATACTGGCCCTGAAATTTCGTGTCTGGGCAAACAGTGGTGCACCTTAGTGAAATAGGACTTGAGAAGAAGAATCAGGTTTGAACCTAATTCTGGACAGGTCTAACTGCAGATTGGACATAGCTGAAGAGAGATTGGAACTAGAAAATAAACTTAATTATTCAGACATCATCCTAGAGAGAGTAAGAGAAATGAAGGAGAGTTAAGAAAACATGAGGAATGGTGAGAAGAGCTAACGTATCTATAACCAAAGTTCTTAAAGGAAGAGACGGAAGAGAATGGAGCAAAGGCAAGTTAAACTGAAAGTTTGCTATCAGCAGAAATTCCAGAAAGTTCATTTGAGCACACAGAAAGTGATCACAAATGGAAGATCTAAGTGGAAATGTGTGGGTGGAGCTCAACTAAAATTGACTGAGTAAAAGCAACCGCAATAATAATAATAATAATAATAATAATAATAATAATAATAATAATGATGATAATGTTTTATGCATTTAAAAAAATAGAATTAAAATGTTTTCCAACAGTAGACTATCAGTCAGGAGGGAAGTAAGTAGAATTAAAGTGTTCTTAGAGGTCTTTGTTTCTTTAAGGGTAGCAATACAACATAAGAGAAGGGGATATAAAGACTGATTAATTCCAGATTTTGACAAATTAAGTTTACATGTTGTAATTTCTAAGGTAGCCATTAAAAGAATAAAAGAAGGAAGGAAAAAATGGAATGAGGGGAAAAATCAGTTCAAAGGAAGGCAAGGGGAAAAGAAAAACTGAAATACCAAAAAGTAGGTACAAATAGAAACCACATAGTAAATTAGAAATAAATCCAAAAATATAAGTAATTATACTAATTGTAAACTTAATGAAAGTCATATATATCTATATAAATTTAATGAAATATATATATATATATATATGAGAAATATGTATATATTTTTTAAATTATTCATTGGAATTTTAAAGGTTCATTGTCTTCTCTTGGTGAAACGTTAAGGTAATCCAGTTTTGCCCTCTATTTCCAAACAGGAAAATAAGAATAAAAGTATCTGCTGTTATTTAAAAACAAAACAAAAACAAAAACCGTCTCAGCTTGGCAGTGCCATGGAAGTTATATTAAACCAGCTCATGTTTTCTAAAAGCCTATACTTCAAGGTGTCACTAGTTGGATAAACACATAAGCCAAAGAAAGTACGAATCAAAACAAAATGTCAGGCCATTTTTGGAGGAGAGCTGTTTTTTAAAATAGGTACAAGAGAAATCATAGGCCTTCCCATTTAAATATAGCAGAAATGGATGGAGGTTACTGCCTCTCTCCCCAGGACGGAGGATGAGTTCAGGAAGTGTCGGTCTTGGCAAGGACTGACACTTGGAAGGGGGCGCTGGAGATCTGACAGGAATAAAGGGGCTGCTACTCTGTCCCAGATTAACGGTCCGCTTACACTTGGGATTCTTCCTGCGAAGGAGGAAATTCAGACTCATTCAAGAAGCAGCTCTGCAGTGGCCCAAAGTGCAGAGCTGATAGATATTAGGGGCTCATTACACTCCAAAGGCTGGGCTTAGTGGTAAAAGTGGTGAAGAAAAGACCATCAGTGTGACGTGCACAGAGGTGCCTATTACAAGTGCACAGGAAGTGGGTGCAGAAAAGTCTTAGGTCTCATCTTTTCCATTGGGGTGCTGATTTATGAATAATCTCGGTGCTTTGCTATCAGTTTTCAGTAAGAAGTGAAGAGAAGTGATCCTAATAATGGGTTTGGAAAGAACTTACCTTTGGACATACTGTATGATGGTTTCAGTCAACCTTTATACCCATGTGGGTTAAACCCTGGGAAGTTAGTCTTTCTCTGACACACTCCAAAACTAATTAGGAAGAGATGTCTCAGGTTTATCTTTAGGAAAAACCAATACAATAGCAATACAGCACTTAATACGCACTTGGAAATCTGTATCAACCATCTTTAGTTACTAGTTATTTCCTCTGTCCTGGCCCTACCACCCTCCTCCCCACTCCTGCAATGCTTATTAGCTTAACTAGCTTCAAGGGTGCTATTTAAAGTAATAAATTTAAAGTAATGAATTTGGCTATCCCTAGAAAAGCAAATGTCCTGGTAGTTCATGGAGTATTTTTTATGTAAGTATATGACTTTCTGATTTTCAAAAAATTATGATAGGATACAATACACTCAGTTGCATTGAACATCTTTCCTTGATTAGTTCGGAAATCAATTTTAGACTTTAACTGAAGGGCTTAGACAAGCTCATGCTATATTTAAATGTTGGAATCAGGATTCAAACAGGGACATCCACCTTAAAAATTATACTTTTAGTCCCTGTAAGTTAGCTTTATATACTTCTAACATACACATTGATAAATGTTTATGATTTTGGTTGTCTGACATTAGATAACAGAGAGTTTTCTTATTAGAACATTAGTCACTTTGACTAACAATTCACTGGGTGGCTTTAGAAGTAAATTTTTTATCTGGCCAGTATGAGAAAGCTAAATCTGGGTTGGGTTTATATTTTGAGGAAGAATATTATTCTTAATGATTATTTTGAATCAACTTGAAAGATTTTTTTTTTTAGCACAGCAAACCAAAGTGGTAAACATGAATAAATGTACAATTCTTAAATGGGAATAGTTAGGAATGTATTTAAAGTTTAAAATATTTTTCTTTGAAAAGGCAGAAGAAATTAGAAGTGGCCATGGAAGAAGAAGGATTAGCGGATGAAGAGGTAATGTGAGTGTGATCAGTTAACAGTACTGTGTTATGTACTTGAAAGTTGCTAAGAGTGGACCTTACATGTTCTCACTACAAAAAATAGTGGTAATGTGAGGCAATGGATATGTTAACCTTACTGTAATCATTTCACAATGTGTGTATATCAGACCATCACTTGTATACCTTAAATTGATACAGTGTTGTATGTCAATTATATTTCAACAAAGCTAGGGGAAAAATGATTGCTGTACAAAGGCAATCCCAGTGACTTTTGCATTTATTCCTATCAGATGACTTTATAACCTAGATAATGTTCATCTCATTGTTAAATACGGGTTTCTTACTTTGTTACTATGATGGATATCTTTAAAAAGAGGCAGCTTTTTTTTCAGTGAACAGTATCTACAGGATTGTGGGTGTGTGGAACAAGATAAGAGGGCTCCAAGATGAAACAGTCAAATGCCAAACCTTCTCACAAGTTTTTCCTAAATATTTCTTAGAACTCTCCGGCTCTCTAGTGCAGTGCCACCAGCCTGTTTAAACTACTGTATATTTCACCTGAAGAATAACTGCCCACAGCTGGTCTTTCCTCCTCCAGGCTAGGCCCCACTCCTTCCTCCAATTTTTCTGCACATGCCAATCAGAGTTATATGTCTAAAAACAGGTTTGGTCATGTCACTCTTTTGAGCACTCTCAGGATAAGGGCAAACTCATTAACGTTGGAGTACAAGACCCTTTACAATTTGGCCTCTGCTTCTTTTTCTCTGGCCTCATCTCTTCTCACCCCCCCGCCCCATGCTGACCAACAATATTGAATTACTTTCATTTACATTATCTTGCCTCTGGACCTTTTCACAAGCTGTTGCTGTGCTTGGAACTCCCCTATTCCTGCCCGACTTCCATTATTCTAGAGGAAGTTTTACGTTTCACCATAGGCATTGCTTCCACTCGGAAATGTTTCCCAATCACTTGAGGTTCTCCAACTTTATTGTACATTAGCATTATTCCTGTCCCTGTGTAACTTTAAAATATCATCTTCCCAGAGTAGAAACTCCATAATGTCTTAATCAGCATCACATCTCCAGAGCTGGCAGAAGGCTAGAATAAATACTCGGCAAATACATGAACAATGGATCTTTTCTTCAAGGAGTTTATAGTTTAGAAGGAGAGATTACATGTGTGTGTGTAAAAGTATGTACACATGATAGAATGTGGTAAACTTTGAAGATAGAGTTTTTCCCCCCAATTCAGGAGATCAGAAAAGATTTCATGGAAAAGGTAACAATTATTTATTTGAATCTTTAAAGAATAGGTAAAATTTACATTACAGTTAAGAAGTATGTACATAATAATGAATATATACACACAATAGGGAACTATAAAGGGTTCAGTGAAGGAAATAGCAAAGTGAATTGACAGCACATAATTGAAAACTAGGCTTGAACAGTTTACTTAGGCAACAGGGAGACACGACCTAGAAAATTACCTTAATAGTTTTCAGTGATAAGGAAACAATTTCTGTATTTAAAAAGTAGTCTTCCAAAAAGATTGAAATTGTACCAACCAGCTTCTCAGACCACAAAGGTATGAAATTATAAATAAATTACACAAAGAAACACAAACACATGGAGGTTTAGTAACATGCTGCTAAACAATTAATGGATCAATGACCAAATAAAAATAGAGATCAAGCAATATATGGAGACAAATGACAACAACAGTTCAACACTGTAAAATCTGTGTGACAAAGCAAAGGCCGTGCTAAGAGGGAAGTATATTGCAATACAGGCCTACTTCAGGAAAGAAGAACAATCCCATATGAACAGTCTAAACTCACAATTAACGAAACTAGAAAATGAAGAACAAGTGAGGCCCAGAGTCAGTAGAAGGAGGGACATAATACAGATTAGAGCAGAAATAAATAAAATTGAGAAGAATAAAACAATAGAAAGAATCGATGAAAGCAGGAGCTGGTACTTTGAGAAAATAAACACAATAGATAAACCCCTAGCCAGAGTTACCAAGAAAAAAAAAAGAGTCTACACACATAAACAGAATCAGAAATGAGAAAGGAAAAATCACTACTGGGACCACAAAAATACAAAGAATTATGAGAGAATACTATGAAAAATTATATGCTAACAAACTGGATAACCTAGAATAAATGGACAACTTTCTAGAAAAATACAACCTTCCAAGGCTGACCCAGAAGGAAGCAGAAAATCTGAATAGACCAATTACCAGCAAGGAAATTGAATTGGTAATCAAAAAACTACCTAAGAACAAAACCCCTGGACCAGATGGTTTCACTGCTGAATTTTATCAAACATTTAGTGAAGACCTAATACCCATTCTCCTTAAAGTTTTCCAAAAAGTAGAAGAGGAGGGAATACTCCCAAACCCATTCTACAAGCCAGCATCACTCTAATACCAAAACCAGGCAGACACCACAAAAAAAGAACTTAGATGCAAAAATACTCAGCAAAATATCAGCAAACCAAATTCAAAAATACATCAAAAAGATCATCCATCATAATCAAGTAGGATTTATTCCAGGGATGCAAGGATAGTAGAACATTTGAAAATCCATCAACATCATCCACCATATCAACAAAAAGAAGGACAGAAACTACATGATCATCTCCATAGATGCTGAAAAAGCATTTGACAAAATTCAACATCCATTCATGATAAAAACTCTGAACAAAATGGGTATAGAGGGCAAGTACCTCAACAAAATAAAGGCCATATAGGACAAACCCACAGCCAACATCATACTTGACAGTGAGAAGCTGAAGCTTTTCCTCTAAGATCAGGAACAAGACAAGGATGACCACTCTCCCCACTTTTATTCAACATAGTACTGGAGGTCCTAGCCCTGGCAATCAGACAACACAAAGAAATAAAAGACATCCAGATTGGTAAGGAAGAAGGCAAACTGTCCCTGTTTACAGATGACATGTTATTGTACATAAAAAACCCTAAAAGAATCCACTCCAAAACTATTAGATCTAATATCTGAATTCAGCAAAGTTGCAGGATACAAAATGAATACACAGAAATCTGCGGCTTTCCTATACACTAAAGATGAGCTAGCAGAAAGAGAAATCAGGAAAACAATTCCATTCAATTGCATCAAAAAGAATAAAATACCTAGGAATAAACCTAACCAAGGAAGTGAAAGACCTATACTATGTAAACTATAAGACACTCATGAGTAATTAAAGAAGGTACCAATAAATGGAAACACAATCCCATGCTCATGGATAGGAAGAATTAATATTGTCAAAATGGCCATCCTGCCCAAAACAATCTGCAGATACAGTGCAATCCTATCAAAATACCAACAGTATTCTTCAATGAACTAGAGCAAATAGTTCTAAAGTTTAGATGGAACCAAAAAGACCCCAAATAGTCAAAGCAATCCTGAGAAGGAAGAATAAAGCAGGGGGTATTGTGCTCCCCCACTTCAAGCTCTACTACAAAGCCACAGTAATCATGACAATTTGGTACTGGCACAAGAATAGATCCATAGACCAATGGAACAGACTAGAGAGCCCAGATATAAGCCCAAGCATATATGGTCAATTAATATATGATAAAGGAGCCATGGATTTACAACGGGGAAATGACAGCCTCTTCAACAACTGGTGTTGGCAAAACTGGACAGCGACATGCAAGAGAATAAAACTGGATCACTGTCTAACCCCATACACAAAATTAAACTCAAAATGGATCAAAGACCTGAATGTAAGTCATGAAACCATAAAACTCTTAGAAGAAAATATAGGCAAAAGTCTCTTAAATATAAACATGAGCAACTTTTTCCTGAACGCATCTCCTTGGGCAAGGGAAACAAAATAAAAAATGAACAAATGGGACTACATCATGCTAACAAGCTTCTGTACAGCAAAAGACACCATCAACAGAACAAAAAGGCATCCTATGGTATGGGAGAATATATTTGTAAATGACATCCAACAGGGGGTTAACATCCAAAATATATAAACAACTCACACACCTCAACACCCAAAAAGCAAATAACCCTATTACAAAATAGGCGGAGGATATGAACAGACACTTCTCTAAAGAAGAAATTCAGATGGCCAACAGGCACATGGAAAGATGCTCCACATCACTAATTATCAGGGAAATGCAAATTAAAACCGCAATGAGATATCACCTCACACCAGTTAGGATGGCCAACATAGAAAAGACAAGGAACAACAAATGCTGTCAGGGATGTGGAGAAAGGGGAACCCTCCTACACTGCTGGTGAGAATGTAAAATAGTTCAACCATTGTGGAAAGCAGTATGGAGGTTCCTCAAAAAACTAAAATTAGAAATACTATTTGATCCAGGAATTCCACTCCTAGGAATTTACCCTAAGAATGTAGGATCCCAGTTTTAAAAAGACAGATGCACCCCTATGTTTATCGCAGCACTGTTTACAAGAGCCAAGATATAGAAGCAACCTAAGTGTCCATCAGTAGATGAATGGATAAAGAAGACATGGCACATATACACAATGGAATATTATTCAGCCATAAGAAGAAAACAAATCCCACCATTTGCAACAACATGGATGGAGCTAGAGGGTATTATGCTCAGTGAAATAAGCCAGGCAGAGAAAGACAAGTACCAAATGATTTCACTCATCTGTGGAGTATAAGAACAAAGCAAAAACTGAAGGAACAAAATAGCAGCAGCCTCACAGAACCCAAGAATGGACTAACAGTTACCAAAGGGAAAGGGACTGGGAAGGGTAGGTGGGAAAGGAGGGGGAAGGGGAATAAGGGGCATTATGATAACCACACATAACGTAGGTGGGGGTGCACGGGGAAGGTAGTATAGCACAGAGAAGACAGTGGTGACTATAGCTTCTTACTACACTGATGGACAGTGACTGTAAAGGGGTATGTGGAGGGAAATCTAGTAACCACAATGTTGACCATGTGATTTTATATTAAGGATAACAAAATTTTAAAAAAATTTGCCATTAAAAAAAAAAGTAGTCTTCCAAATGATGATTTGAAATCAAATCATTATCTAATCTTCCTTGTACCTTTCCTAGGACTGTACCTCTATTTTTATATTTGCAGAGTTTAAATCAAATAACAAAATACTTATGATTTATACCAAAGATGGCCACTTTATTAATCAGTTGACTCAATCTAGAAAACTCTCCAGTTTTTTCTGTAACACTGTTATAATAAATATTTTTAAAACTCATTTCATTTATATGTTCTTTAAGTTTTAAGTGAGAAAGATAAGGATTTAGATATGTATTATAATCTACATAGAAAAAATAAAGCTGAGCACATCTTCATTTATCATTAGTATTAATAAATTTCTTAAGAATCTTGTAACTTTATTGATGTACATTATACATCATTATATTGAAGTAGAAATCTTAAGCATGAGATCTTCATCTGAAATCTGGAGGAGAGATTAAAAAAACAGATGCCCAAGGGTCACGCCAGGTGACAGGAGTGAGAGAAGCTGGCCAGATGGGTTTCATGACATATTCTTTCGATCCAACATACTTTGTGTGCACATTCAACTCACATGAATATTTTTTTCACTTCCATGAAGAAACAGATTCTTTTTTTTGCTATTTCTAAAATATTTGCTGATAAAATTTATTTGCTGATGAAGACATACCACTTTTCACTTTACTGAAAGAACACGAAGGCACAGCCCAGGCACACACGTCATCCAGTGACCGGCACCGTGTGGAGACCGTGACAAGTCAGAGAGCTGCCGCCCATCGAACAGGGGCAGCCAGTTGCCCTGTATGGCCAAGTTCCTGTTTTTCAAGAGAAGCTGGAAATCTGGAGTTGGATATAAAATGCCCTGCTTTTTGAGATAGCAGCAAATAATTTAAATGTGGAGGCCAAACCAAGTGCATCCGTAGGTTGAATACAGTCTGTAGCATCTGGTTTGCAACCTCTGGTCTACACCAGGAAGTACCGCTACATTTAGAGCTGGTTTCTTTAATTCATCTAAATAACTTACAGGAAATGTTTCATGATTTTACCGCTAAAAATAGTCAGTGGTATTATAATACTAATAATAGAATAACTACTTATGAAACTTCTAAAATTTTTCTGTAAAGTTATTTTAGTTCCACAAATGCTTATTGTTAGGCCCTAGGCAAGATCCTACATTGTGTCAAAATTCTATGGAATAGATATATCCTCTCAATATAAAATACGTTTGTTGAAACTATCTTTATGAGGGGTGGATTTTTCAAAGGAGAATTGTTTTGTAAAAATACAAATATCATTTTTAATGGAAACTAGCTTTCACCCTTAACTCTTTGTAGTATAAAACTACTTGTGAAATACTTTGTGTAAGTTACTTGGAAAAGCTGACGCCTGTACTGTAGCCATGAAAAGCTTGAGATGAAGGTGTCAGCTGGGCCCTCCACACCTCAGAACCTCTGCGCACTTTCACGCAGAAACGGAGCACCTCCAGACTGAGGGTTGGAGGAGTTCCAATTTAAAAAGGAATGGAAGAAGGAAGAAAATGATACATTTCTGGCTTCATCTCTCTTAAGAAAATCCCACCAAACAGGGAATATTATTTACTCTAATGGAAAACCAAAATAGGCAAATTTAAACTGTAAAAGTGAGCCACAAAATGTTAAGCCCATTCAGATTTTTCTTGTCGCCTTTGGGGAAGAAGGAATGGTCAGCACTAGAGTGTTCTCTGTTTTTCTGGGTGACTTGATGTACATAAGTCGTGAGCGGACATAACCACATTTCTTTTTTTAAATGGGTTTTCTTGCTTCAGGTACCTCTGTTCTATAACATGGGCTTTTAAGACTAATGTCACAGGTTTTTCAAAAGTAATGTTAACAGTGTTACAGGCGATTTCCCGTTTCTCTAAGATTGTATATTCCATATGCTTGCGATTCTCCCTTTTGGCCACTACCTGTCCCCAGACCACATAAGCATTGTTCACTGGCTGCATTACACAGTCAATCAGATATTAATGAACATAATTTTCTTTAGTTGCCTCTCCTCCATCTTTTGATTTTGAACATAATTTATGGAACTGTAATGATGTCCTGTTTTCCTTTCAGATTAGACAGGTTTCTGAAACCACACCCAACTGTAGTCTGTTATCGTAATCCATGTCAGAAATCCAGAACGCCTCTCAAAATTCTTTCATCTGTTCGTTTATGTAATTTTAAAAAGGGCTTTACTGCTTCCAAAGACAGCACTATAGTGCCACCATGTGGCTTGGCTAAAAATTGAAGGGCTATTTTTTGAGTTTTACTAGTAATTCAATTTTTTAAATTCTTATTCAAAAGGAATTTTTGAACAACAAAGAAAGTAGTTTGCACTGTTCCCACCATTGATGTGCCAGAGTGGATAACCTCATTTAACTGTTTGAAGATGTTTAGGTTGAAGACTTTCATAATTGGATCCTCTTATATTAACTTTGTTGGAAGTATCAGAATTCCATTGCATTGATGATACATATTCACACATTTCTAGTCCACAGTTCACCTTTCCTTTTTGAAAACAGGTGTCACAGGGTAGGAGGAGACTGCTTGGTGGTCATACCTGGAGGTGCATTTAGGAGCGGTGTTTCTGAGCTGTTAAGGCCATTTGACTCGTCTCTTCTCAGAACTGAACCACTGAAAGTTTGGTAGGATTCAGTTGAGGATGAACAGGGATTTAATTTTTTCACCTATTTTATTTCCCACTCTCTGTTACCTCTACTAGGAGCTATGTCAAAAAACAGGAATTTGTTTGGTGAGGGGAAAAATGAGGTTTAGAACAATGAAATCAATGCCCATTCCAAATGTAACCTTCAGGTATTTCACAGTGTTTCTTATCAATCATAGTTATTTTTGTGATCTTTGGAGAAAAAATTATGAAATTACAGTGACTTGAATATTTTAATGAATTCATATCATTATTTTTGTTGCAGTTGTATATTTTCAGGAAGTTGTGTTCCAAGTCTAAAGCAGTTCATTAAAATTTGACCAAGAATAAATCCTACCATAACTGTATCTCTATGGAACACCAAAGCTGTGTTATTTTGATGTCATAAGTCTCAGTGGTTGTAACAGAGCAGTCTTGGAAATTAGGGAATTAAAGCAAAGTAGATTTCTTGACAGTAAAAATCAGTATCAGAATACTGTTAGCATTTCCTAAGGTTAAATTTTCATTTTTTAAGTAGGCATATAGATGAAAGAATATGATGAAGTACTTAAAATGAAATATTTAATGCAGTCCACCTCAAGAATAAAGATTTATCAATTGTTAAACATTTTTTAATGTTTTCTTTGGATTGTTTTGTTCTTAACATGTTTAATAAATAGTCAACTTTGGCAAGTAAGCTGTAGTTACCACACAACTTCCTGGAAATATGAAATTGCAACAAATATTAAACAGTAATTACACTAGTAATATTTAAGATTCTTTACCCCCATTTTTATGTATTTCATTTTTAATACTATAGGCTTCTTTTGAAACAATCTGATTTTGAAGTCATCCTTTGAAACTGTCTTTTTTTAATAGAAAAAATTACGCCGATCTCAGCATGCTCGCAAGGAAACAGAGTTCTTACGTCTCAAGAGGACCAGACTTGGCCTGGATGACTTTGAGTCTCTGAAAGTTATAGGAAGAGGAGCATTTGGAGAGGTGTGCGTCTTTTTTAAAGTCAGTATTGTTGAAAATATATCTTAAGATGGTTTAAAACATCTGTTGTTATTAAACTATCAGTAGTTTAATTTTAATACAATTGCTAAAATACCAGCAATGGCAAATTGCCACACTGCTTTCTTTAAAGGAACATATCTTTTGCTCCTAAATAATAGTAGTGACTTTTTAACATTTATATGATCAGTTTTTACATTTTTACGTTCTAGGTGCGGCTGGTCCAGAAGAAAGATACAGGCCATATCTATGCAATGAAGATACTGAGAAAAGCTGATATGCTTGAAAAAGAGCAGGTACGAGTTCTTGAGCATGTCACCAAAAGAACACGCTCTTGCTTGGTGTTAGACTGTTAATATGGGAATTTTTAAAAAGAACTTTCTTTGATAGCTAATTTTTTGATAGCCGATTTCATTTCTCAATTCTTAATAGTTAGTTTCTTCCAAATGTATTATCTAAATATGTGGTAGTCTTCCCAGGCTGCCATAACAAAATACCACAGAACTTGGGAGGCTTAAATGACAGAAATTAATTTTCTTAGAGTTCTGGAGGCTGGAAGTCCAAGATCAAGGTTCTGGCGGGCTTTGGTTTCTAAGGAGGGCTGTCTTCTGGCTTGCGATGGCCGCCTTCTCGCTAAGTCCTCACATAGCCTTTCCTCGGTGTGCGGTGAGTGTGTGAGCTCCCTGGGTCTCTTCTTATAAGGACATTAGCCCCTGCCCCCAACCTATAATGTCATGTGACCCCAACCACTTCCTTAGAGGTCCCACTGCAAATCCAGTCGCACTGGGGGCTAAGACATCACCATAGGAATTTGGTGGGTGGGGGCCACAAACATTCAGTCCAAAGCAAAATACCTTCTTTTCTGACTTCAATGCAATAAAGGACAGTTCTCAGCACCTTGAATACCTATCACATATCAACTAAGAACAGTCTCCTGAGAATTTGCTGATTTTATGTACTTCCAAATTCTATAATCATCCAATTTCATATTCCCGGTCTCTCTCCATGTTTCCTGTGATTTAATGCAGTTCGTGGAGTGGCCATAAATCTAAACGCATCAGTAGTGTTATTTTATGCATTCACCTGTGTTTCCAGTCTATGTAGACACTCTCTGGAACCCTGAACTGAAAATGCTAGTGAAGGACTCAACAATGGGGGTGTGGAGGGAGATGGCACCTTTTTGTACCTAATGCTTTATTTCAGTCTTTTAGTCCCCACCTGAAGCTTGTATAGCAATAGAATATTGATTTTTATTTAAGTATGGCCCACTTGAATTTTCACTGCCTTCTTGCATTTAATTCTACTTTATTCATTCAGCAAGTATGTATTGGGTGCCTGTGATGTACCAAATACTGCTCTAGGCTCTGGGAATACAGTGCCTAACAGGACAGACCTGCTCCTTGTTCTTTTATAGTAGTAAGGAAAATGGGCAGACAGCTATTTCACAGAGACATGATTGATAAGTACTATGAAGAACATTTTTACAAAAGAAAAAAGTGATGCAGGTGATACAGGTTTAGGAAGAAGAATTAGATCAGGGAACATTTCTCTGAGAAGGGAGTATTTGATGTGACCCTGAATAATGAGAAAGAATGACATACAAAGTCTCGTAGAATAAAGATCCAGGTGGCACATGCAGAGGCCCTAAGGCAAGAATAATGGCCTGTCCGAAGAAGAGAAAGAGGCATTTTGACTAGAATCAAGTGAGGGAAAGAGTGGTTAGAGATGAAGTGGGAGAGAGAAGCAGGGACCAGATGTAGTGTTTTGAAGGCCAAGATAGAGAGTTTGGGTTTTAGTCTAAATGCAGTGGGAAGACACTATTTTGTTTATTCAGGGGAGTGACACGTCTGATTGATGTTTTACAAAGATGCATTAATCCCTTTGCTTGCTGATAGGAGAAATAAGAGTTGAAGCAGGGAGGCCAGTTACGAGACTGTGTAGCAGTTCCAGCCAGGATGTGACAGTGGCTTATACTAGGTTACGACAGTAAAGCTGAAGAAAAGTCAAACAGATTAAGTTGGCGTGTTAATGGAAGAGCCCACAGGATTTTCTGTGAGGCCCCCTAGGCTGGGGGGCGAGAGGTGAAGGGAGAGACCAAGGGAGTAAAGGATTCTGGGAAGAGTGACCATATTGGAGTCTATGCTGGGTAGGGAGAGAAACAAGGTTATAAGGAGAATAACAGAAAAGTGGTGGGGCCCATAGAATGAAGGTAAGTACAAGAATAAGAGGCCTGTAAGGATGAAAGTGGGTATCAGAAACAGAGTTCCTTCAAGTTGAGATTGTAGATAAGGGGTTCAGTAGAAGGGCAAGAAGATTACCGTGGGTGGCTGAGGTGTCGTGGAGGAAGAGGTCATGCAGGTGAGGAAGAGGTCAGACAACTGGGCAGATAGGGTCCGGTAGTTCCTCCTTGAGCAACTGGATGGACAGTTGCAAGAGGTAAGCTTGAAACATGTGTAATGTGTTACAATCATTTTTTCAAAATACGTTCATCTAGGTGGCCCATATCCGAGCAGAAAGAGATATTTTGGTAGAAGCAGATGGTGCCTGGGTGGTGAAGATGTTTTACAGTTTTCAAGATAAGAGGAACCTTTATCTAATCATGGAATTTCTCCCTGGAGGTAAAAGCAAACACGAGAGCAGAGACTGAGCCGCACGTCTCTAAATGTCATTCTGCTTTTGTTGCCGAGGTTCATTTCTCTACGCCTAGCGCCTGGGCTTCACGAAGTGAGCCATGGTTTTCCAGTAGTTCCTCCATAGTCATGCTGCCTTTGACCACATGTCAGATTATTTAGAAAGACTGATAAAGTTGGCACAGTTTAAATACTGCCATTCTGGTTTTACTGTATATAATTAGAGTATCATAAATCTAGGGTAAAGAACAGTAAGGCACTAAAGAAAAAGATAAAGAACCCAATGGGCAAATGATAGACTGTACAGAGAAGAAAAACTCTGGCTAGTCTATAAATAAATATTTAGGAAGATGTCACTTTGCCCGTATTCAGGGAAATGCAAATTAAAACAATAGTGAGATACCCATTCACACTCACCTGATCGTAAAAACATTAAAAGTCTGAGAGAGAGAGACGGGTAAGATTCCTCAAGGGAGGAACAACCTAAGACAGGCACAGTCACAGGGGGGCCATCAGGTGAGAAATTGGGGAACAACAGTGGTGAAGCTTAGAACCTCACCCCCCCCTGTGTTGAGAGAAAGTTTCTGCATCCATGGATGTTTTATTGCCCTTGTCTAGCTCGGATTAGCACATAGTCTACAGGCACACACCTGATCATCTACAATTGCTCTCTTACAACACTAAACTATGTTTTCTACCTTTATCTTGCATCTACCTACCACTTCAGCAGTTTATTGAAAATAAAAATAATAATAATAATAAAGGGAGAAATGTGGGATCCACATATAAATCAAGTAGAAAAATCAAACGAATATTCATATTTGACCTGATTGTTTATAATTCATAATGCGTGATCAAAACCGAAAGTTTCTGTGATGACTGCCCTTGTACTGTTCACCATGTAAGAACTTATTCACTATGTAAGAATTCGTTCACCATGTAAGAACTTGTTCGTTATGCTTCAGAAGATTGGAGACTGAAGAGAACTAGGCTTGAGATGGATTAATGATTGTGCATTGAGCATTGACCTCCCTATACAGAATTTTATTGTTGTTAACAACCATTTGATCAATAAATATGAGAGATGCCCTCTCAAAAAAAAAAAAAAAGTCTGATGAGAGTGTGGAGAAAACTGGCTTCTCGTATGTGTAAGTTAATCTCTAACTCTTACAAGGAGCAATTCGTAAATGCCTTACATTGAAACGAATGTGCCCTACAGTCCAGCAGTCCCACAACCAGTGGTGTTCCCTAGAGGTTCTTCCCTATACGTGTGCAAGAGGCTGGTAAAAGGACACCCACCGAGTGTTCTCGTCCCAGTGAGCGCTGGATTTGAGATAAATGTCCATCAGTGGAAGCACGGATGTATAAAGTGTGGCATGATTATGTGGTGAAATATGTGACAGCAGTTAAAAGTCAGGAAGTACATCATTTCAACAGTAAGAGCACAGAAAGAGAGTAAAGTAACAAAGCAAGCTGCTACTAGGTACAACTGATACCATCTATGTAATTTTTAAAACAACACATAAAAGACTAAGTTCATAGATTAATACATATGTATGAAACTAAATTTTTAAAATAATCTGGAAGGATACACACCAAACCAAATCTGTGGTAATGGTTACTCAGCCACCAGGGAAAGGGGACTAGGATGGGATTGGAGGACAGAGAATACTTCTACCTGCTGTTGTTTTTCAAAGACTTGAAAAATACTAACAGTTGTCATTTCCAAGTTGTAAATTCACCAAGGTTTACTCTTGCCCTCTTTTAAATAAAAAATCTTTGAAAACAAAAGAATGCCTAGCGATGACTGAGTGGGATGATGTCCTGTTTTGCTGGCCCATAGAGCTCTGAGTGTTTTTGAAACTGAATCTGAAAGAATATATCATATCCTGTTTCCAGATGTGCTTATACTGATTCATTTACAAAAAATTTGACATATTTTCCTTAGCCTATTCCGATTTTGCAAGGTAGATATTTCATCATTATCATCTCTTCTCTCATCTGATTTCACACACCCTTTATACCTCAAAACCTTTAAATGTCATGACACTTTTGCTTATGCAATGACACATTTTTTTTATTTGGCCTTAGAGATAGATGGGTAGGGGTATACTGAGTGACTTATAAAATACAAAAATCAGGCATACCATGTATAGATACAAAGGAAGTTCTTACAAGGTGTTCTCCTTTTGAGGCATTTCTAATACATGTTACTTATTTTCCTTTATTCAGGTGATATGATGACTTTGCTAATGAAGAAAGATACCTTAACAGAAGAGGAAACGCAGTTTTACATTTCAGAGACTGTTCTGGCAATAGATGCCATCCACCAGTTGGGTTTCATCCATCGGGATATTAAACCAGACAACCTTTTATTGGATGCCAAGGCATGTGAATAAACTGGTGAATTACTCGGTTGCTGGTTATTTTATTGAGTGATAGAGCTGACTTCGTCTGGAAATGGGCAACTGCAATTTATATTATTGCTAAACTACTTTATTTCATAGAATGCTGCAGACGGAGAGGACCTGAGTGAAATGATATCAAGGGAATATGGCTTGTCTTTTTATCTTCCATTTTCTTCTTTTTAAAATCATCATCACCAAATATTTCTAATTTTACATTTCACCTATGTGAATTCTAAGTGTTTTTATAATAATTGTATTTAAAAGAAGAGTTTATAATAAGCCTTCTGTTATAAAGTTAATACAATTATTGATTTTACCAGTTTTGTTTTTTTTAGGGTCATGTAAAGTTATCTGATTTTGGTTTATGTACGGGATTAAAGAAAGCTCACAGGACTGAATTCTACAGAAACCTTACCCACAACCCACCCAGTGACTTCTGTAAGTGTGATGGTTGTTCAGGTTAAAGTAGTATAGCCGGTGTGACTCAGTGCCGTTGAGAACCTCTCCCCACGCCCTGAGCCAGTGTCTTTTTGAATGGATGTTGTGAACTTGCTTTTTGGTGAGAGTTCTTCCCTCATGACCACCACTCCGTCTTGTTGCGATTAGCATTTCAGAACATGAACTCCAAGAGGAAAGCAGAAACGTGGAAGAAGAACAGGAGGCAACTGGTGAGTCAGCCACGTTTCTGAGAAAGAGTTTTGTGTCCTGGTCTCCCGGTCCTAAAATCACATTTGGCTTTCGCTTAATTATTTTTAGCTTCGCAATGATTAGTAATGATTAGTTATTTGTAACAATAACAGAGCTTGTTCTGGGGTTACAATTTTCTTAGTTTCTCTCTAATGTTTGCCTGGAAAGTGAAATGCTAATTTTTCCTTTATGATTTAACTTTAGAGTACCTTATTGAGCACACCTATGCTTAAGTAATCTGTTCACTAGTAATTAGCACTTTACAGTAAAACTTAGTGAGGTGAGCGTGATTGGCGTGAGTGCCTCGTGACTTCCGTTTGTCCACTTTCAGTGCCTGTCCTGATACAATAAATATCAATCATTGCAAATAAGGTGGTTGTGTGTTTCTAAGAACTTGGCAAGTAAAAAGGACATTTGGCATGTTGAACAGTGTTACAATAAAATAGATAAAATAAATTTAGAAAGCCGTCCTTACCACAGATAAACTTAATTACTCCTTTAAGGTGGAATAACACTATTTCTAACCACACACTGTCTCTCCTCTATTACGTAGCAAAAATAAGAACTGCTTATCCCTTTTCCTTTTTCCCTTTGTCTTGTTGAGTAGGTCCGTGAACATTCTCAAGGTTAGGAATATGCCTTTGACTTTGTTTTCCTAAATTCTTGCATAATGCCTGGCATGTACAGACGCGCTACACATATTTGTTAAATTCAACCAAGTGGCGGAAGGGCCAACTAGCCCAGCATTCTCTCAGGAAGGTGAACGGACTGGAGGGTAGTGCAGAGGCTGATGCCTTCTCAAACCAAATGAAATGGCCTTTGCATTATTGAGCTCATTCTGTCGTTAGCCCAAGTAATTCAAGCTTCCTGTGCTTGTAAAACATGTTCAGTGTTTTTAATATTTTTTTAATATTTAAAAAGTGTATTGAGTTATGCATTAATGACAAAAATTTCCTACTACTTTTAAGTGTGTTACTTTTAGATCGTATTTTACAGTTGTGAAACTAATTGCAATATTTCCTACTTTTAAAGGGAAAAATGAATATTGCTTAAAAATATGGTGGCAGTTCTGTGGCCCCTCCCGCCATGTACAGAATATTCACAAGGGATTCCTCAGACGCTTGTGGCCATGACCACGACTTGCTCGTTTCGGGGTTTCCCAAGGGAGAACTAGGAGGAGCTGTCTTGCTGTTTGGGCAGGAAATTCCTTGAGAAACTGTGCTCCCTGGCCGCCAAGTGCCGGTCATAACCTCCCCTGCGTCACTGAAGTGGCAAAATCTGCTGTCACACATTTTCACATGGCCCCTAAAGTACTACCCTTAGCTGAGAACTTTGCCTTAAATAAATCATTTTTGTAAGATTTTATATGAATTAAGAGTAAAGAACTGCTTTGCTTCCCAGTGGATAAGGTGTGCCCTAGAATTAGGTTCATAATGAAAATATGTGATGTGTATGTAGTGGGTTATAGATTACAAAACATATCCCTTTTCTTGTTTCATTCTCATAACAACTCTGTTAATGCCGGTGTTATTACCCTGATTTTACATTAGCAAAAGCTGAGGCTCAGAGAGGTTGAATGACGTGCCTAACAACACGTTAGTAGGGAGTGGGGAGGCCGGGCCTGCTAGGCTCAACCATTTAATTCTTTCTGAAATGGATTTAGGGCCAAGTATATGACTTAGTTGAGCTTCTTGGGGACAGAAATCATATACCTTAAATAATGTATTATCTGACTCAGTACGTCTCACTAATCCTTACATATGATGAACATGTACAACAAGTATTAAATGAAAACTAACTTCTGTATATATTGCTTTTCTTAGTAGTGAGCCATACTCAGATCTTTCAAAAAAAAATTCAGAACGCTGGTTTGATGAGTGGTTCCTTTGCAGGCATATTCCACAGTCGGGACACCGGATTACATCGCTCCTGAAGTATTCATGCAGACCGGCTACAACAAATTGTGTGACTGGTGGTCTTTGGGTGTGATTATGTATGAGATGCTAATAGGTATGTTTTATTATTCATTTATGGACATAGTATAGTATATACATTTCCCTGAGTGTCACTGATTGAACATATTGTGGATAATCATGGTGGACTAAAATATCTGAGCCCTTTTAGATCAGTTTCTGACATCCCCAATGTAAAATAAGCAATGATAAACACCAAAGAGCTCTCTGGGGATCCTGTTTCAGGAAGGGGGTAGTCAACCGGAACTCCCATATATCGGAATTGTATCTCATTGGTCTTTCAAGTAAAAGGGGAACAGTGCTTTAAATCCTTTGTTTTATTGACTATATTAGCAATTTTATTATAAATTGATGAATGGCAGCATTTTTTTATTGTTAAATAGAGCCCTCAGGGCTATTTCATTTCTTGTGACATATATATAGATTGTATAGGAGATGTGATCATAAAAGCTAATGAAATTTGTTTTCTCTGACACATAGGATATCCACCCTTCTGCTCGGAAACACCTCAAGAAACATACAGAAAAGTGATGAACTGGAAAGAAACTCTGGTGTTTCCTCCAGAGGTGCCTATATCTGAGAAAGCCAAGGACTTAATTCTTAGGTTAGTGGTTAAATCCCTGGAGGAGTTGGTGGTATTTTAAAACTTCACAGGTATCTAAAAGACTAAATTGCCATTTCACTTTTGTGGGAGAAGGACTGCCATTCATCTAATGCAGTCAAAGATATCAAGAAAGAAAAGGTGTTTTTAAAAAATGCAAATTCTTAAAAAGAAGTATGCAGGAAAAAAAGTAAAGAGTTAAGAGGGAAGAAGTCTTGTATTGTGTCAAAGGTCACTCCTGTAAGAATGCAATGTCCCTATCTTATTAAAGAGAAAAGGGAAAATAAATTGTTAGTGGCAGTTCCTATCACAAAGGTCAATATTGTGAAATCTTTCCTAAGCAGAAGATTGCACTCAGTTTCTCAACCAGGATGAAGTGTTTGGCACTGTTGTGAATGGCTGGAAGGAATATAAACTGGGGTAACTGACGGGAGTAGCCAGTTGGCAGCAGATTATCAAAAATCTTTAAACTGTATGATCTTTAACCCAGCAATTCTACTATTTCTAGGTATTTTGCTTATGCAGATAATGAGGTGTGTGTAAAATTAGGTACAGTATGTTTAGCATATTGTTTTTAGTAATAAAAAATTGAAAACCCATCTATGTTTAACAATAGACTAGCTAAATAAATTGTAATATTAACATATGCAAATTTTATAAAATGAAGTTACAGAAGAATATTTAATAACTTGGGAAATTGTCTCAGTATATTAAGTGAAAAAAAAGCCTAAAGTAGCAATTACTATATCAACACAATTTTTTAAAAATTATAATAGAGAAGGAAGTGCCTTCAGCTGTTTAGAGTAGTTATCTGAATAGTGCAATTACATATGATTTCTGATTTCACCCATGTTTCCCACAATAAACAGTTAACTTCAGTAAACAGAAAAAAAGTTTGAAATGATGCAAAGAGAATACTTCAGATGTAATTTGCATGTGGTAATTTCTGTTTCCACTTTCCAGATTTTGTATTGATTCTGAAAACAGAATTGGAAATAGTGGAGTAGAAGAAATAAAAGGTCATCCTTTCTTTGAAGGTGTAGACTGGGGGCACATCAGGTGTGTTCTTAGACTTTGAATAGAAGAGGTCTGAGTAAAAATGAATTTTTTTTACTAGATTTAGTGATTAATTTCTGTCATTCTGTCAAATCAAATACAAAAACTAACACTGTTATTAAATCTGTGTTTCTGGATTATGTAAGTGAGACTGTAGTGTCTATAGCTAAATGATGTATTTTAGCTAATGCCCACTTTAAGGGAAAAACCACATATTGTGCACCTGTTTGTAGACTTTTAAATATTCAGAGTTACATGATGAAGGCTGTATTCCACTTTATGAAACAGCATGAAAACGTTTTGGTACAGAGAAATAAAAACTCTAAATAAAAATATTTTAATAAGAAATTATATTCAACTCTGTATCCACTTAACTATTTTAAAATCCACAATAAATTTCCCTGGCTCTTCTACTATCTATAGGGCAGCATGCAGAATTTGCAAGTCAAATTATTTTGGGGAAAATTAAGAGTTCCAGAAAATTTACTATGGTTACTCAATACCTTTTTATAGGGAAAGGCCAGCAGCAATCCCTATAGAAATCAAAAGCATTGATGATACTTCAAATTTTGATGACTTTCCTGAATCTGATATTTTACAACCAGGTGAGAAAATTTACACCACAACTAACCCTATTTCAAGTCTACGAAGATGATGACATTTTCACTAATGAAATGCATTTGCTCTTGTTCAATTTCTCTCTTTCTAGTGCCAAACACCACCGAACCGGACTACAAATCCAAAGACTGGGTTTTTCTCAATTACACTTATAAGAGGTTTGAAGGATTGACTCAGCGTGGCTCGATCCCCACCTACATGAAAGCTGGAAAGCTGTGAAGGAAGATCACACTCGCCCAGAAGCAGGAGAACTCAGGTAGCTGCATCACCAGCTTGCTTGGCCGTAGGTGACGACACGCGGAATACTTCCGAGGATGGGGGTGCTTATGACCACCAGAGGGAATTCTCGGAAGGGTTTCTCAGACTACAACATGAATTGGTTGGCAGTGCCAGCTGGCCTTTTTTTTTGATATTGTATTATTTTTGTTAACTTTATTATACGAAGGTACTGGAATTAAAGGAACACATATCCCTTTCTAAGTGCACTGCCTACATGCGTATCAAGGTCCATTCTGCCTGTGTGTGCTGTGGCTTTGTGCTGGAACACCTCTAACCATTTCAGGAGAAACACATATCATACAATGCAACATAGGCTCACCTGTAGGTACCGCTGCATATCGCTGTTCCACCGCAAACCTTATGGGTCTAGATCATCAATAAAAGCCATCTTCCATAGTTGGCGTTAGAATCCTTGCCCTATTGGTTTGGACATCTGTAGAATATATGTGAAGACAATTTCTGTAATGGTTTGAAGAAATTTAAAAAAGGAAATACACTGGTTATTTAAAAAAAAAAATAGAATTTATCATGATGTTATTACACAAACTTCACACTAGGAGTGACAGGTTTATAATAAGGAAGAGCTTAGCACCTTCCCTCAAGCACTCCACTGATATATTTACTTTGCATTCAGAAGTACTGATGCCCTTTATGTATGTAGTCTGTATACTCCTAGGGAAATGTACTGTATTATATAAAATGTAAGGTTTCTTTTCTTGTGACAAGAGGACTTCTTTTTTAACAAAAGGACATGGCATTATTTTAATTTGATTTCGCTGAGTTGAATTGAAGAAATGACCATGAAGGCTGCTTGTAGAATTAGTGTATTTTTATTAAACTATTTTTTTAAATGTCAAATTTCTGATCATGTAAATGGACTTACAGAGAACAAAGCTATTTACTTTGGTTTCCTAGGAAGTTGTTACATATCGTGACAGGTTAACATTTATTTCTTTTGGTGAAAATTTTTTCTTTGATAATACTTGTATCATTGTGCCATTATTTTCTTATACTCCAAATGTACCAAAGAACCTGAACAGAGTGGATGTTCACAACCGTGTAGAATTTTCCTTTCCTGCAGGAATGCTGTATTCAGAGATGGCAGATCTGACATGATAGAGGTCATCTTATTCAAGGGCAATATTGTTCATGTTGCGCTACATCACTGTGGTTAATGTAAGTGGAATTAAGGAAGTAAATGCAGGCCAGGATGTTTGTAATTAAGAGGATAGAGGAGATGATGTCAGCATCAAATTCATTGGGTATTTCCCTAAGAATTAAATAATCTTTTCTAGCTGAACATTTTAATTCTAAAACAACTCTGAGGTTTTGGTTTCCTAAGACTGGCTGAGGAATAATACTTTATCAAAGAATGGCCTACTGTGTGTCTTAACTGTTGACTGAACTTTTTAAAGATAGAATTATAACCATTACAAATGATCGGTGATGAAAATCTAATGTGATGATTTATTTGTAAGGATTTTCTTCTTAATGGGGAAGAATTGCATAGGATCATTATGCAAATCTACAAAAGCTTTTTTATAAATGCTGCTAGGTAGCTCCACAATGTTTCAGTAAGACCATCCTGGGTCCCCTTCCCCACCTTTCTTTCCTTCCTTCCTTCCTCTCTCTCATTCATTCATTGCTTCTTTCTTTCTTGTATTTATTTGATACTTAATTATGTGGTCACCCAGTAGCGCATCTCCACTTTTCTTAATTGGCCCATGTGGCTTAGTACCTAGGAGAGAGAATTATTAAAATTCTGGGGTTATTTCAATTCTAGTAGTTCTGGCTTTTCTAATTATAACTGCCTCTAATTTTTAAAAAATCTGTGACTTCTCAGTTTTATGAGGTTTTCTCATCCCACCTCACCTCCCTACTCCTTTTTATTTTTTTAAAAAAGGACTGTTTTGCTAGTGTGATAGTGAATGGGTAAGACATGAGGAAACTCCAACATTCTTTAATTCTAATATTGTAACCATTCTTGTGCAGTAAAATATTAATTCAGTTTGACAGAGACAGAGAGATTGACATAAAGGAGCTGAATTACCTAAGTTGACTTTTTAACTGAGTAAGAATAGAGCATTTTAGTTTCTGCTCACTCATTCTCATTAACAGGAAGAATAGTTATGACTTCTTGGCAGTGGACTGGCAGGCAGTTCTGGAAAGTTTACTTTGTTTAGAGTCTCATTTTTCCCTGAAGTTGATAGAGTGAATCACAACCTTTGGGGTTTCCTCCTCATCAAAAGCATTTCTTAAGTGCCTATCTAAAAGCAATTAAAGACTGTGTCTGCCCTTTGAAGCTAAGAATTTGATTCATGATGCACATTAGCTAGATAAATTGTGAAGTACCCTTGAGATTGAATTTTCTCTATTATACACTGCCTGTATTTCAGGTGAACCACTTAATTTAAATGACAAAACCGTATCTGATCAACTGGGCATAATGACATTTTCTTTAAATTAGACTCTATTTTGAATTAAAAGTTTTATTATAAACTGCGTGTTTTTGGTTTTTCTAAGCACATAAAAAGCTTGTATAATTCAAATTTATTGATTTCCTGATTTAATGTAGACCTTGACTTTTTATTAAAAAACCTTTGTATTAAACCAAGTTGTGTTATTTTTCTTCTATGCTTTTCTTATTAACATAGCTTTAACTCTTCAAATTTATTGGAACATAGTGCTATCTGAAAATAAGGAACTTCTCATAACAACCTTTTCTGAATGGAATGTGTAACATTTAATCAGCTATTAGTTGAATGGAAAATAACAAATGTGGAAAATTCAAAACTCTTTGGTCCCTAAGGCCTAAGACTGGGTTTCATTTACTTACATATTAGTGTACTTTCTTTGTTGTTTGAATACCTATATAACTTTCTGTAAATATGTAAATTTTAAAATATTTTTAAGTACATTTATTTTTGGTGTTTTAGTGTAGAAATCTTTAGAAAATCATTATCTTCTGGTAGGAGAAACAGCTATCCATCTTTTAATCTCAAATAAATAAATGAATCAAGATTTCTATCAGTAGAAAGATCCTTGTCTACTAAACACTTTCTCTCTTTGAATTGCTAAGAGTCAGAACATTGAAAATTACTGTTTTACTGCAACCATAAATTTCTTCTTGCCTTTATTTAAATTTTATTTTCTGTTTAGAAGTGCACTTATTTCTGAAAAATTTTAATGAGAAACACTAAGAAAAAGTATAAATACAGGATACTTGAGACTACTAGAGACATTTTAGATTTTTCTGAAAAAATGTGAGGGGATATTGCTGCTTTAAAAGGAATGAAGTAATAAAAATAATCTTAATTATTTTTTTAAAAGCAATATAAATTATTCAGTCATGTAGAAAAACAATCATTAGGCTATTGAGTTCTGGGTTCAGTTACTGAGTTTCAAAATGTTTTGGTGGCATGAGGCCTTTTTCATTGATGGTAAGAAATGAATAAAAACTATGTTTATATTTCTGGTGGTGAGGTTTTTGGTTTTTATTTTTGGCTTTTTTGAGATAGGTATTATCCAAACCCCAAGAAAGACTATTTTGTAAATATATCCAATTTTTACACTTAAAACTCACATCAAGAACAAAATAAATATGTGAAGTTTCAGTTGTATCATGTTTAAACAACTGATATACAGGTTTATATACAGCTATCCACTATGCCAAAACCAGTTAGCAAGCAGAATTAAAATTAAAGATGCCTCAAAAATTGAAAATGCTTCAAAATAACATGGAAACCAGTGATGCAAGTGGTCCAGGTACCCAGGTACATCCTGTCCCGTGGAAGATGCTGGGTCGGATACTCTGCTGAGCTCAGGGAGCCGGTCCGAATCCTGCTCTTCCTGGTGGTGCCCCCAGCCGTTGCCTGGCTCCCATCATTTCAGTAATGCCATTGTTAATGTTAAGACATGAGTGAAAACACTGTCAAAATTTGGACATTGGAGCAAAGTTGGAGACTATAAATTCATCTTAAAGCATCTTCTGATAAAAAGAACCTACATTTGCATATGAAACGCTTTGGCTTACATTATTCATTTTAGTTTTTACTACTCTGTGGAATAAGCATAATCATCATAATTTTACAGATGATGAATATGAGGCTGAGCGGGTTTTACCCAAACACGCGTAATGAAGCGCATCTGAACCCGTCTAGTGCTCCTACTACGCCAACCACAGAACGTGCTTGTAGACCTCAGAAAGACACGCAGGGGCTAGTGACTGAGCTGTCATTTGGGTACTTTTGACTGCTAAGTGTTACAAGATGCAGGTAAAAGTGGCTTCAACTGTAAGGAACATGAATATCTCTTGTAACAAGATAAGGAGCTTCCAGGGTAGTCAGTTTAGTATCAAAAAAGATCAAGAACAAAAAAGTTCTTTCCATTTTTTACTTCATCATCAGATGTTGCCTTTGTCCTTGGTCTTTTCTCAAATCCTTACACAATATACAAGTCCTGAAAAAGAGAAACTACTTCTTGTGACCCTTTTTTAAAAGCAAGGAAAGTCTTTTCCAGAAGATTCTAAGCAAAGGAACCCCCACGTGCTACTGGCCATGATTATGTCATTGTCCAATCCCACAACAGTACCTGGCCTGGTGATTGACTTAAAACCGGTCAGGATTCACATTCCTGCTGCTAAGGTAGGACTCATCTAAAGCGCACAGTCCCCTGATACCAGAACCATTGGGAGTTCTTTTAACAAGCTCTGGGATTACCAAAGGGGTGCCACACAGGTTTATAGCAATGGATCTTACCTGAGGCCACTGCACCTGGATTTTGTCGCTTGTTCTGCCATTTCCTGTGTATAAATTAAGGCTGGTCCATTAACGTCTTTTCTGACCCATCTCAAACAGGAGTACTGGTTCCACTTTCTAGCCCATGGCTCAGCTGCTGGGGCCCCAGGGTTCTCGTCCTTTGGAGAGCCAGGTGTAAGGGTGGGTCTCGGAACCACGTGCAAACAGAATGTATGCATGGCCCAGGGACCAGGGCTTGGTCTTTCCAGTACTTTTGTCATCCCTCCCAGCTCCTGTCCATCTCTTCTCTCCCAAAGCTGTTATGTCAGTAAGAGGGACGCTCATCAACTTACTTTTCCCCAACATCCAGCTGGGGGGTGAGGTGGCCTAATTACTGCGGCTCGACTGCTCTGCTCTGAATCACTTGGCTGTTCACAGTAAAACATTCCTTATCGAAACCTTCAACTTGGGGTGGCTTTTAAGTCTCTTCCAAAGGGAGGAAACAGTAACAGGAAAGGGGCACTGCCCCTTGCCTTTCTTGTCCTTTTGGGTGAGATAATTATGAGCAGAACGTGAACAACCCTCCTGCCCAATTCTATGTGCACCGTACGGGGAGGACTGACAAAGACCTGGGACACCACAGGCTTCAGGAGTGTCCAAAACCTGCAGAAGTAAAAAGTCAGCATTTGACACTTACACACACACACATGCACATAATCTCTAAGGGAAAAATAACTTCAGGTAATAACTCCATATATAAAGACATGTCTGCATGACTATTCTGTCATGCTTGTCCTAAGTTTTGTTCCCCCTGTGTTTTTCTCGGAATTTTAGGTTATTGCTATGTTTGTCCTGTGGCTAATAGAAATACGCACGACTTACCTCTCCAACAACCTAGGCTTAAGAAGATGGTTTTGACAAGTTGAAGCAGTATTTCCTAAACCTGAGTCCTCGGAGCAACTGTTTGAAAATCACCTAAGGTGCTTATTTAAAGTATGGATTTAGTGTTTCTGACCCCAGACCTATTAAATCAGAAGCTCGGGGTGGGGGTTGGTGCAGCTGAAATTCTGCACATTCTCAAGCCCATCTGACTTTGGCAACCACTGAGTTAAGGGAAAAAGGACACTGGTTGGACTTTCCCAAAACAAATGTCCCTGCCTCAGCCATTGCCGTGAGCATGTCTACGTGAAGCAAGCATGCACAGTGGGTGAAGTAGAGAAGTCTGCGCTGACCTGATGCCTGGCACATTGTAGGTGCTTTATAAATAATCGTGAACGAATGTACTTAACAACTGCATTTTGTGAGCAGCCCTCCTTTCCATCTAAGGCTGATCTCAAAATGTTTTAGTTCTTAATAAAAATATAAATCAATATCAAAAGATACGGGGGGGAGGATGGTAGCCTTTGTTAAAAGTCGTTATTTTCCAGGGAAATAATGTAAGAGGGTTTGCATTACACAATGAAGTTCCCTCAGTACCCGTTTAAAAGATCTTTCTCCAATTTCCACTCTGTCCGGCGGCTGCGACCACCTCCTCTCCTAAGTATACCCTCCCTGCAATTACCTTCTCTGCTTCTGTCCTTTCATAGGCTAAGCCCAAGCCAACCTCTTCTACACCGGAAGCCCACTACAGGTTCATCTCTCCCTCGGGAACACATTTAGCTTCCCTGTGTCTCCCAACTGCATTCTCATTCACGCATTTGTTCAGCACACCCAAGACCCGTCCCCAGTACTGATCTCCACAGAATGCTGGGGGCAGGTTGGGGGCTGGAGAAGAAAGGGTAGTTTTAAATATTAATAACTTATTAATTTTCCCCAGCCCTTAGGAGCTCATGAATGGAGAGCTATTATTTTTATTTTTAGGCATCACTGGAAATAGTATCTTCAAGTTACCTACACTTTGAAGCAAGTGGATTTTTTTTTGTCTTGGACCAACTAAAATATCTAACTGGACTTAAAGGAACCCCCAAACTAAATTACACTGTTACAATCCTAGCAGGAGATGGGTAAGTACAGGAATTTATAGTTTGTGTGGCAGTGGTTCTGAGTTCCCGTAACTGCTCCTGCCCGCGTACTTGGCAGTGAAGCAAGATTCATGAACAAACGAAGTTCACCGTTGGATTAGCGATGACTCCTAAAGGGCAAAGCTGTTCCCGGGCTTTTGGCAAGAAAACCACATTGACCAGAAGGCGTTATCCCATGCATTATGGAAGTTACGCTTAAAATCACTTTTCTCACATTTTACCCAAGCAGAAACTATGAGAAAACCAGTGGCTGGAAATGAGAGATTACCTTCCTATCCATCTGTCAAGATACTGTGTGGCTCTCGATCGCTATTCCTGTGAAGTATAATGCAACTACTCTTAAAAAAAAGTCTTAGAAAGTAAAGCCACAGAGCATAATGACAACGTAGCAAGTTGGGTCTAAACTTGAATAAGGGGAACACACGTTCGGCTATGAGGGTGCCTTGCCCACTGGGATCCTGTGGGCCTGGTCTCCTCGTGCATTACACTTCCTGCTCCGTAATTTAGCTTCTGGATTCCTTCTCCTTTGCTTTTCAGGCTTTTGGTGCAAGTGACTCATGGTTTCTAAGAAAGGAGGACGGCAGTGACTCACTGACAAGCTGACCGGACACCACGGCGTGAACTCCTGAGAAGATCTGACTTTTATATTCTGGCCCAAATACCCCTTATCTCTGAACCTCTGTTTACCTACCAATAAAACATGAATTACAGGTGTTCGACCAGATCACAAAGGTTGTTGTGAGGCTTCCATGAGATGATAAAGAGAAAAATGCTTTGTAAGCATGACGATGGATATACACAGTCTGAACTGTACATTTTAACCCGGGTCCTGGCCATTCTGCTTCACCATTAAGGTGGCAGGTAACGCATGCCCGGGTCCAAGAGTATCTGACCCGGTCCCCATCTCGGTTAACCATCTCGGAACAGTGTACACTTGCCTGGAAGGCCAGGTTTTGAATATGTTCAGGGAGACCTAGGCCAGATTTTACGACTCTCTGCTCTGCTCTCTGTGGAATCTTCATGAGCTGCCAGCCAGTTGGTGTTGGTAGATTCGGACAGTTCCAAGGGAAAGCCAGGATTGAGGTGATTCAAGAATGGTTTGCGTAAGGGATGTCTTGGTGCGTGGTCCCCGGGGCAAAGCAGTTCTTAGCGCCTCCCTCCTCTTCCAGCAGCGCCCCCCACCTAACGCTGCAGCAGAGGTCTGGGGTCATGCCCACTTCTGCCTGGGAGCGCGCTTCCAACCTCCTTGCCCAGGTGCGGCCCTATGTAGCCCTCGGGACATATAAGCAGCTAGTGAAGACTCCGTAAGGAAGAGTCCTGGTAGGAAAATTAGCAAAGGGGAGATAGGCCGGTTGATGCAAAGGTTTGGAGTTTCTCTGCTGTTCCTTGCCTCCACTACCTCTACTGAGCAAACTGTGCCCAAAGAACGGGTCTGGGACCAGTGGTCAGGGAGCAGAAGACGGAGAGCTGTCAAATGATCCCCAGAGGATCTTGATTGTGGATTTACGCAACCGTTGCCAGGGCCAAAACAGCGTCCTGGAAGACCGCACCCCGCCCGCACCTCCCCGCCGTTACCCCCACTGTCCTCAGCGAGGCCATTCCCTGGGCCCCCTCCAGCTGCCCCCACCCAGCCACGCTCTCCATCCATGCTTCGCCTTTACCCTCAGAGAGACTCCCCCCGCCCCCCCGCCCCCGGCACTCGCACCCGGACTGCGGATCTCACCGTCACCGCGGAAACAGGGGGAAGGAAAGGCTCGCCCGCCCCCCGCGCTCTCCGCCGCCGGCCGGGGGTGGGCGGGGCGGGACCCGTGGGCCGCTGTGGCCCCGCCCCTCCCGGTGTCCGGCCTCGCCCGCAGCCCCGCGGCGCCCGCCCCGGCGGGCAGACGGGCCCCAGGCCGCATGCTCAGTGACCCGGGCGGCGAGCCGGCGCGGGCTGCCCGCCGGAGCTGCAGCAGCCCAGCCTCCCCATGCTGCCCGCCGGGGGGCTGCCGGGCCGGCGGGTGGGCTCCCGCGACGGCGGCGGAGAGGAGACAGCGACCAGAGGTGAGGCGGCCGGGCGGGCGCGCGGCGGCACAGGTGGGCGCGCTCTGCGCGGGGCTCCCCCGGCGCCCGCAGCCCCCCGGCTGGCTCGGGCCGCAGGTGCGGCACCCCGCGTGCTCCGAGGGAGCGGGAGGCGGGGTCCCGGGACCGCCGCAGCCTGTCGCTCGGCGCCGGGCCGACGACCACCCGCCCTGGACGGCGAGCGGCCCCGCCGCCAGCCCGCTGCCCCTGGCCGTCCGCGGGCACCGCCGCGTGGCCGCGGGAGCCCGTCTTCCGCCTGCAGGGGCTGTCCGCGGCCTCTGGAGCAGCGCGGGCGCTGGGAGCCCGTCCGTGCTCCCTGCGTCCCCCTCGTGGAGGCGCGTCCTCCGGGGCCCGCGGGCGGCCCCGTGCGCCGCCGCCGCTCGCGCCCCGCGCCCTTGCCGCCAGGCAGCCTTGCTCCGTGTTCCGCGGATGGCTGTGAACGGAGTCGGACGCGCTGCTGTGTCTTTCCCTCCCTGGAGTATTTATTGCCTGGCTGCCTTCTGGGGCCTCCTCACGGGGCTGCCCGCAACGCGGGGATGGTTGTAGAGTCGCTGTCATTTAGGACGGGAGGCAGGAAAACACCCGGACGTAATCGAAGAGAAGTTCAGGGAAGCCGCTGATTACATCTCCCCTTTGCTGTTGGATTGTGGTGATGAGTTTAGATTTTTTGAAATACGGCAACGAGTAGAGGTGCTTTTAGAAATCTAAGGCAGCTGTGGGAATTTGACTGCTGGGGAGCGTGCCAAAAACCTGTCATTTGAACATTTGAAGTTTTTCTGGGAAGTGGAGACGTGAGGCGGCTCCGGTTTGGAAGGAGAAGGCAGTATGCGTGGTGCTAAGCTCACAGCTTCTCCGCGCTCAGCCGTGACCGAGCTCTACGCCTCACTGTGTCACTCGGGTAGGGTATTTATGCTTAGTCTCAGTTTCTTCACTTACCTTTTTGTTCGTTATTGCAGCCCTGTGACGTAACCGTAGTCGGCATCACCATCTCTTGATAAATGAGGAGCCCAGAGAGGGTAAGCGCCTTACCTAGAGCCACACAGCGAGGTGGGCTGTTGGACGACAGTGCCTCTCCCTCACTGCCTGGCTGCCCCGTGGTCGGCGGAGGCGGTGCTCTCGGCGTGTCGTGTGTGGGCCAGTGTGTGGGCCGGTGTGAGCGCAGCAGGGGCTTGAACGCGAGCGGGGATCCTGCCGGTACCTTACCAAGTACGCACAGTTGGGAAGCTCCTCCCTTAGAGTCATCAGCGATCAGCGCAGGTTGTCAGGGTCACCCCCCGTTCCCCCGGGAACAAGCAGGTGCCTCTGGCAGCCATGGGCTGTCCGCTGCCACAAGCAACAGCCCTTCATGGACTCAGATGCCACCGTTCCTGCCCAGGCATGAAACCTAACTAAGGCTGTCGGTCAGTTATCCAGAGTGGCATCTAGATGCGACCGAAGCCCCACGGCTGCCACTTTCTGACAGCAGTTACCCTTCCCCTTCCCCCCAAGAGAATCCTCTACGGGCAGGTAACCCTTGTGGAAAGCGTTTTTTTTCACTCCCTAGTACTGACCAGCAGACCTCTTTTTTACACAGTTTAAGGTAAGTCGGTCTGCAATCCTGTGCTTTTGATTAGAAACTCCCTGTCTTTTCTCATTAGAAAACATGAAAATGTCCCCTGAAAGTGGCTCAGTGTGCTCTCATATCTCCAGCTGCACAAAGTTCATGGTGTCAGCAGTCTGTGTTTAAAAAATTATCTAAGAAGGGCTGCGTCCATGAGTCCCCAAATAGTGGTATAACTTCAGCCTTTCAAAGACATACCCGAGGCTTGTGAATAGCACAAAACTTTTCTTGGTATATATATATTTTTTTCTGAATTTAAAATGGAAATAGTAGAAGCCTTGAAATTTTTTTGTTTTCAAAAACTTTCAAGGAAATATAAATGTGTTAACTATGTTTTTTATTTTCTGGGTTTTGATGCTTTGACATCCGGGACCTTACTGGTGCTGGGGAGGCCGCCCCCTCCCAGATCAGCCCCTTACTAGAGAGGGTGGCTGGCATTTATTTGAGCCTCTTGCCATGTCCAGACATTCCTTACTGTCACTTAATGACCTTCGTTTAGGTTTTCTGTTTGTTTCACCTTCTTCTATCCTCAGTCATTCACCCCTTCAGGAAGCTGCCCCTTGTGTTCTTAGAGATTCTCCTCTCTTGCCCACCGCCCGATGCCATCATGGCTGACTGGTCCTTCTCCTCTTTTCCAACATACCCCGTCCTCCCGTCACTGCAGTAGCCCCTTGGGTGCCTCATAGGTGGACCCTTGAATCAGCTGGAGATTCTGTACCTCTGAGTCCCCAAGTCTGTCTCCCTGCTGATCATGGTCTCATATTTTTATGACTCCCACTTACACAAACACCCCAGCCACGTCCCTGTTCTTTCAGCTCCTTCCCGGTATCTCTCGCTTTCCTACCAGCCTGTACTCTGTGAAGCGCTGCTGTAAGCACCACTTACTCATTTGTCCTCTTGACCTTCTGCATACGTCCCTGGCAAGGGCATGGCCCCGAGCAAGTAAAACCATCTCTTTTCTCTGCTTTGGTTCTCCAGCTGTATTTGATCATGGAAAAAAATCACATGCCAGCAAAGCTCTTCGTCCTTGGACTCCAGGAGTTTACAGTTTCCCCCTGACCATTTAGAACTCACCAGAAATTAACAAAGAGTCTTAAAATAAAAATCAGCAGAGATAATAAGCCCACGCACATTTTAGTTTGTGAAGTCTGACATAGGTATTCTTGGCCCCAGGGTTTTCCGCTAGGGTTGCTTTCTCGCCGTATCTGAGCCTTCCTCCCCTAAAATGACTTCATCTTAAGAACCATCCTCAGGACTTCCCTGTTAGACATCCTGCTACTTTTGAAGTCAAGGCCAAGTGTGTAAAATTTCCTCCTTACAGTTACGTAGAAGAGGTCAGTCCTTCTGTAATGTTTCAGTATCGTATCTGTGGTGTGTGGTAGCCCATCCACACCCAGTTGGGACCCTGATCCCGTGTGAAACGGTTTTTGGTTTTACCTGTCAGTGCTTGGCACAAAGCCTGATTTTCCCAGGGTTCACTTCGAGTACAGTCTTCATTACTGAATTAACAGGTAATGGTAAGAAGCCAGCCGTTCATGCTGGGCAAAGGTGGAATGCATTAGGATGAAAGTTGTAGCTGTTGACAGGAAGACTAATTCCTGGTAGGGAGAACAATGCTGCCCATTTTCCAAATTTGTCTCCATCCTTGAGAAGGTGATGTTAAATGGCGGGACTTTAAAATATTGTTGGATTGATTACCGTCCCCAGGGAGATGCATGTAGAACGCAGCGAGATTTAGTGCTAATCTCATTCTCAACAGAACTACAAACCTCCTTGGTAAAAGACACACAGTGTCTTTGTTCAGTCTAAATTCTGGATTATTTTACTGCGGGTTAAACAACACATACTACATTTGCCATTGAGAAGTGACCCAATTTGGTGAGGAAAGATAATATCAAAATACTAAAAGCAAACCCCTCCAAAATGAATTACATAAAAGCAGAGCTAAATTTCAATTCGTAATGCACAGTCTCATCTTCTAGATAAGTATATGTGGAGGCTGAAAGTACATTGGAAGGTCAGAAATAAACCTTTAGTCTTTAAATTAGGAGTTACCTCTTAACAAATAAAAACCCACTGTATCAAGGTTGAATTGTTTCCAAAGAACAGACCATTTCATCCAGAATGAATCAGTCCCACTAATCCGTATTTTCCTTTTGGTAACAGAAGCTCTCTGTTTTGAACACACTTCTACTGACATAGCCAAACTTGAAGGGCACAACTAATGATGGGGCAGTACACCTCCACCCACTAAGGAACATAAAAACAAAGACCCTTAGGGCTTCAGGTTTTGTTCTTGTGAAAAGAAGAATATTATTCTGCCAGCCTAAAGATGGTCCACTTACTGTTTTAAAGGTTAATAAGGAAGTCAGACTGAAATGGGGAAATCATGAGTGAGAGGAGAAAAAAATAATCTTTTTTTCTAATTGAACATATGTGAGGGAAAGAGTGTATTTTCTTGTGTGTGTGTGTCAGAGAGGTGGGAGGGGTGGAAGGGGTCTGGTACTGTATACACCAGGGTATTCTGGGGTTCAGCGTTGGTGAATTTTTCCTATTGAGTTGCTATTTCACCTAAGAGAGTCCCCACATTTTTCTGGGGAGCAGATGTCCCGCCATTCAAAGCCCATCAGAATGAAGTCCAGGAACTGAAACTGTAACCACTCTCAAGTGGGACCAGGTGGGCCTGGATCATCCCTTGGGAGTCCCCGACTCCCACACATCAGAAACTGGATTCCCAAGTGGCCAACAACCAGTGATAAAATTGTTCTCCCCCTTTCTTTATTGTGACGTCTGTTATACAGACAATTTAAAAAATTGTATGTGTAGCTTAAAGAATCAAAACAACACGTCTGTGAGCTCACACCCAAGTTAAGAAGTGGAACATAAATTACTTTAAGGCCCTGTGTCCCTCACCGACTGCATCCTCCTTTCTTCCCCAAAGAGATTTCTGACCTTTGTGTTACCTGTCCCCTTGTTTTCCTGTATGGGTTGGCTTCTATGTAAGTATCACTGAAAACATTTAGAATTAAAGTATCTCTTTAAGTAATGCTTTCACTGTCCCCACACATTTTGATGTATGATAGTTTTATTATTATTTAGTCCCATAATTTTATAATTTTACATTTGAATTCTTCCTTGTCCCAAAGAGTTATTCGTGTATATCTTAATTTCCAAGATATAGGGATTTTCTGGTTATTTTTTCGTTAACGTGTCTAGCATATATACACTTTAGTTAGAAAATGTTTTACATATGATATCAATCTTTTGAAAATGTTAGGACTTACTTGCTTTTTTGGTCCAGTATATTGTCAGTTTTTGAAAATGCTCCATGAATGCCCCAAAACAATGCTGGAATTTGAAGCTCTTGGGTACAGTGGTCTGTATACGTCTCGTCTATCAAGCTTGTCCACTGTATGGATCAAAAATTGTCTGTATCATTATTTTTGAATGCTCAATATATCAATTATTGCTAGAGATGTGTTAAAAATCTCCCACTGTTATGGTAGATTTATTGCTTTTTCATAAGTATTTCTTATATATTTTCAATTTGTGTTATAAAGTACAAATGACTCTAAACTTGCTTATGCATTTTAGTATGAGAAATATAATTATTCAGGGAGACCCAACTGGTCTATAGGTTATTTTCAGTGATTCTGATTTTTATATTTTATAAAACATTTAATAGACCACTTTAGGTAAAAAGGATTTTACTATCATTTTTAGCGCCTCAGTGTTAAAAATATTCTTGTCCCTTGTTCTTGTTAACTCATTTCTGGGATACTATCCAAAAGAAATAACCAGAAAATGAAAAGAAATAACCAGTAGATTAAAAACTTTATGTACCACAATACATATTTTGTTGATGAAGAAATGTGTGTAACCATGATTCTAACAACAGAAGAGGGTCAAATAGCTAAGACACATCTACGCGATGATGTATTATGCAGCCATCAGAATCATTTATGCAGAATTTGTAATTCTACTATAAAGTTATTTTCACAATGATACATAAAGTAGAATATACAGTGACTTCAATGATACAACTATAGAAAAAAATTCTAAATCGTAACATCAGTTGGTGATACTTGATTTTGCACCTTCCTTTCTACTATTTTCTACAATATTCATGTATTTTTTCGATTTCTAACTAATTAATCTTTTATTCTGTGTTATAATTTAGTTGGTATTTTTCAAACATCAAGATAGAAGAACCATTTAAAATGCGTGGTATGGATATGTATAAAAGTAAGTTAACGCTGACAATAAGATGCCCTCTTGTGCCTTCTCTCTCTTGTAGGTAAAGTGCTGAGAGAAGAGAACCAGTGCGTTTCCGGTCATGTGAGCCTTTGGGCAAAACCAACCGCTATTGGATCTTTCAGCCCACGTGTGACGGAGTTTCCAAGAAAGTGGAAAGGAAGTAATTCAGACCCATCTCAGGAGGTGAATTTGTTCCTGTAACCCCATGATATCTTTGACTCTAGGGAAAAGAGAAAGATTACTTTAAAAATCATTATTTTCAATTACATAATAACATTTGGATAGGGGCAATTATTTATCCACCCAACTGTCACTTCTGTCATTAAATTTTCCATCTGACTCTGAAGGTTATTAGGTATCCAGGAGGGTCAAGTAGAGTCTGAAAGACATAGTAACTAACATAAAGCTAATTCGCTTAGTAATTATGATCATGGCAAGATGCTTACCTCCCTAATGGAAATACCTAACCATGAGGAGGACATTTTCCTGCATGTCTGGCTTCAAATAATAATTACCACTTTGCTTCTCCCCTTACTCATCATTTATATAATAACCGATTGTTTCTGTGGTAGTGTCTCCATCCACCCTGCTTCCTGTCTGTCTGCAACTAGACAGGTTAGGGTACTTTAGCATGTGAAGATGCTCATGCTGTTCATTCCTGGCAGGTCTGGGTAGACGTAACCCAAGGCCTCCTTCCTTCCCGGTCAGGAATCATGACAGAAAAAGTGGTGGAAAAGCTTTCCTAGAATTCCTTTACCTTTCTTTTTTCAACAAGCATAGAAATATCAGCAGCCAGTGGCAGCAGGTAAGTCCTGGGTTCTCACTGGACATGATTCCTACTTGCAGAGGGCATGTAGGGGCGGAGAAAAAGAGTATGGACACCACAGATTTGCTCATTTCTGTCCGAGAGATCCTCCATTCTGACCCAGCCCTCCTTTCATCCCACCGTTTTCCATTCTCTCTAAGGAAATAATGGACGTCAAAGCACTTTATGTGTTTTAAAAGTACTGGTTGTGTAACATCCTTCCCAGAGACTCAGGGCATGTAAGTCAGTCAGTAGATAAGCAGTTGATTCCATTGATGGAGCTTCAGAGTGCTGGGTATTTTTAAACAAAGGATGTTCTAAAATGTTTATCCTTTCTATAGCACTGTTGGTTTTGAATGGAGAGCTGGTTTTTGAAAGGCATCATTGGTGAAGATTCCCTGGAATATAGTCATTAAACATATTTGCTGCAATAAACATAGGCATGCATGTACCTTTTCAAATTTGTATTTTTGTTTTCTTTCGGTAGATTTCCAGAAGTGGAGTTGCTGTGTCATATGATATTTCTATTTTTTAAGTTTTTGAGGAACCTCCATACTGTTTTCCATAGTGGCTGCACCAGTTTACATTCCACCAACAGTGTACAGGGTTCCCTTTTCTCCACATCCTCACCGAAACTTGTTATTTCTTGTCTTGCTGGTATTAGTTATTCTGAGTGGTGTGAGGTGATATCTCACTGTGGATTGGATTTGCATTTTGCTGATGATTAGTGATGTTGAGCATCTTTTCATGTGTCTGTTGGCCATTTGTGTGTCTTCTTTGGAAAAATGTCTGTTCAGGTCCTCTATGCATTTTTCCAAATGCAAAAAATCAGCTGATTTTTTTCTTTTTTGGTGTTTACTTGTATGAGTTTTTTAAATAAATATTTTGGATATCAATCCCTTATCAGATGTATCATTTGTGAATGTATTTTCCCATTCAGTAGGTTGCCCTTTTTGTTTTATTGATGGTTTCCTTCATTGTGAAGAAGATTCAAGTTTGTTCCCCTTACCTGGGGAGATATAACTAGAAAAAAAAATTGCTAAGGCCAATGACCCAGAGTTTCTGCCTATGTTTTCTTTTAGGAGTTTTATGGCTTCAGGTCTTACATTTAGGCCTTCAGTCCATTTTGTGTTCATTGTAAGAAAGTGGTCTGGTTTTATTCTTTTGCATGTAGCTGTCCACTTTTCCCAAAACCATTTATTAAAGAGCTTGTGATTTACCAAGAGATTGTATATTCTAGCTTCCTCTGTGGCAGACAATTGACCATATAAATATGAGTTTATTTCTGGGCCCTGTGTTCTCTTCCATTGATCTATGTTTCTATTTTTGTGCCAGTACAATACTGTAGCTTTTAGTATAGTTTGAAATCAGGGACTGTGATATCCTCATATTTGTTCTTCTTTCTCAAAATTGCTTTGGCTGTTTGGGGTCATTTGTGGTTCCATACAAATTTTAGGATTATTTGCTCTAGTTCTGTTAAAAATGTCATTGGTATTTTGGTAGGGATTGCATTGATTTATAGATTGCTTTGTCTACTATGGGCATTTTTTTATTAATTATTCAAATCCTGAGCATGGTATGTCTTTCCACTTATTTGTATCATTTTCAATTTCTTTCGTTGATATCTTATAGTTTTTAGAGTACAGGTCTTTCACCTCCTTCATTAAATTTATTCCTAGGTATTTTATTCTTTTTGGTGCAATTGTAAATGGAATGTTTTCTTAATTTCTTTCTGCTAGTCAGAAATGCAACAGATTTCTGTATATTGATTTTGTATCTGCACCTGTATAGAATTAATCTATTCTAATAGTTTTTGGGTCAGTCTTTATATATTATGTGTCACATCACTATTTGTGACCATTTTACTTCTTCCTTACCAATTTGGATAGGATTTGTTTACCCATTTGTTCTTCTTGTCTGACTGCTGTGCTAGGACTTTCAAGGCTATTTTGAATGAGTGGTAAGATAAGAGTGGGCATCCTTGTTTATTAAGTCCTAATCTTAGAGAAAAACTTGCAGCTTTTCACCATTGAGTATGATGTTAGGTGTGGGCTTTTCCTATATGGCCTCTGTTATGTTGGGGTATGTTCCCTGTGTACTCACTTTATTGAAAGTCTTGATCATGATGATTCTTGTCAAGTGATTTTTCTGCATTTAGTGAGATGATCATAACATTTTATCCCTCTTTTTGTTAATGTGGTATATTACATCGGTTAATTTGCAAATGTTTAACCATCCTGTGTCTCTGCAATAATTCCCATCTGATCAGGGTGATGATCATTTTAATATATTTTTGAATTTATTATTTTGTGGAGGATATTTACATCCATGTCCATCAGGAATATTGGTCTGTAATTTTCTTCTTTGTAGTGCCTTTGGTATCGGGGTCATGCTGGTCTCATAGAATTAATTTGGAAGCATTTTTCCCTCTTACTTTTTTGTGGAATAGTTTGAGAAGGATAGGCAGCTCTTCTAGAATTCACCTGTGACGCCATCTGATCCTAGACTTTCACTGGGAGTTTTTTGGTTGCCAGTTTAATTTTGTTACTGATAATCAGTCTGTTCAGATTTTCTATTCCTGATTCAGTCTTGGAAGACTTTATCCACTTCTATGTTTTCCAATATTTTTTTGGTGTATAATTGATTGTAGAATTCTCTATTCTTATAATTTCTGTGGTGTTGCTTGTAACTTGTCTTTCATTTCTGATGAGTCTCCTTTTTCCTTGATTAGTCTAGCTAAACATTAAATCAATTTTCTTTATCTTTTCAAAAACCAGCTGTTAGTTTCAATGACTTTTCTATTGTTTTCTTAGTCTCCATTTCATTTATTTCTGCTCTTATCTTTATTACGTGCCTCCTTCTACTTTTTCTAGTTCCATTAGTTATAAGGTTAGATTGTTTATTTGTTCTTGTTTGTTGAGGGAGGTCTGTATTCCTATGAACTCCCTTAGAACTGCTTTAGCAGCACCCAAAGATTTGAACCATTATGTTTGTTTTCATTTGTCTCCATGTATTTATTTCCTCTTTGATTTGTTCATTAACCGATTAGTTGTTGAGTGGCGTGTTGTTTAGTCTTCATATGTTTGTGTTTTTTCAAGGTTTTTTTCTTATGATTAATTTCTAGCTTTATTGTGTTGTGATCAGGAAAGATGCTAGATAGAATTTCAGTCTTTTTAAATTTACTGAGACATATGCCTAACCTGTGACATATCCTGGAGAACATTCCATGTGCCCTTGAAAAGAATGTGTTTTCTGCTGGTTTTGGATAATGTTCTACTTGTTAAGTCCATATGGTTGAATGTGTTTTTCTTTTTTTTTTTAATGTTTTTTTATTAAGGTATCATTGATATACACATTGATATTACATTCACTCTTATTATTGAGTCCCCCCCCCTTACCCCACTGCAGTCACTGCCCATCAGTGTAGTAAGATGCCACAGAGTCCCTGTTTGTCTTCTCTGAGCTACACTGTGAATGTGTTTTTCAAAGCCACTATTTCCATATTGATTTTCTGTCTGGATAATCTATCCATTAATATAAGTGGGATGTTAAAGCCCTCTACTATTATTGTATTACCACTGATTTCTCCCCTTACGTCTGTTAATATTTGCTTTATACATTTAGGAGCCCCTGTGTTGGGTGCATAGGTATTTACAATTGTTATATCCTCTTGTTAGATTGATCCCTTTATCATTAAGTAGTACCCTTCTTAGTCTCTGTTACATTTATGTTTTGAAGTCTGTTTTGTCTAAGTATTGCTATGGTAGCTTTTTTTTTTTTTCTTCCATTTCAGGGGACTTTTTTCATCCCTTCAGTCTGTGTGTGTCTTTAGGTCTGAAGTTAGTCTTTTGTAGGCAGCATACAGATGGGTCTTATTTCTTTAATCCACTGAGCCACCCCATGTCTTTGATTAGAGCATTTCTCCATTGACATTTAAAGCAACTATTGATAGGTATGTACTTATTGCCATTTCAGTAATTGTTTTTTGGGTTTTTGGTTTGTAGTTACTGTGAAGTTCATATACAGCCTCCTATATTTATATATAGCAGTCTGTATTAGGTTGATGGTCACTCAAGTAACAACACATTCTAAAAGAAGTACTTTAATCTTGTGTATATTTTGACTACTTTTTGTGTATAGAATTGATTTTAGTACTTTTGTCTTTTAATCTTCATACTAGCTTTATAAATTGTTGGTTTGCTGCCTTACTGTATCTTTGTTTTTACCAGTAATGTTTTTCCTTTTCCTAATTTTCTTTGAGTTATAGCCTTTCCTTTTCCACTTAAAGAACTCCCTTTAACATTTATTGTAAGGCTGGTTTCGTGGTGATGAGTCCTTTAATGTTGTTCATCTGGAGAACTGCTTATCTTTCCATGAATTCTGAATGATAGCCTTGCTGGGTGTTCTTGATTATAGATTATTTTCCTTTTAGCACCTCAATATTTCATCCCACTCCCTTCTTGCCTACAAAGTTTCTGCTGAAAAGTCAACTGATAGGCTTATTGTATTTCCTTTGAATGTAACTGTCTGTTTTTCTCTTGCTACTTTTAAGAGTCTCTATTTAATTACTATGTGTCTTGGTATAAACCTCCTTGGGTTCATTTTTTTGGGGTGCTCTCTGTGTTTTCTTCCCTAGGTTAGGGATGTTTTTAGCTTCTTTCTCTCTTCTGGGACCCCTATTATGCAAATGTTTGATATGAAGTTGTTGCAGAGATCTCTTACCATCTCATTTTTAAAAATTATTTTTAAAATAATTTTAAACAGCAGAATAGTCAGTTTGGTTGCCTTCCATCACCCTGTCTTCCAGTTTGCTGACCCCTTCTTCCACATCCTCTAATCTGCTATTGATTCCTTCTAGTGTATTTTTCATTTCAGTAATTGTATTGTTCAGCTTTGAATGGTTCTTTTTTATGTTTTCTCTTTCTTGGAGTCCTCCCTGAATTTGTCCCCTCTTCTCTCCAATCCAGTGAGCATCTTTATTACCAGTACTTTGAATTCTTTTTCGGGTAGATTGCTTATCTCTGTCTTGTTCTTTTATTTAGAACATAGTCCTCTGTCTCCTCATTTTATCTGGCTCTCTGTGTTTGCTTCTATGTATTATGTAGGTCAGCTATGTCTCCTATCCTTGAAAGCACTGTCCTTAAATAGTTGCCCTCTGGTGCCCAGAAACACAATACCTCCTGGGTCACCAGAGCTGGGCACTCCAGGGATGTCCCCTTTGTGGGCCATGTGCACCTTCCTGTTGGGGTGAGAACAGCCCTCTGCACAGCTGGCTGAACGGCTGGGTGCTGCCGCTGCTGGAGCACTGGAGCGCAGGGCCAGCCCATCTGCCAGCCGTGCCCACAAGACTACAGATAGCATGCTGATGGCTGAGCCTGGCTCTTCCCCTCCTGTGGCAGTTGGCACTCTGATGGGGCACCTGCTGGGCTGGGTGTGTTAGGTGGTAGAGTCCACAGGGGAACACTGAGGCAAGGTGCTGGCATGTGGATGGAGTGTGTCAGAGCTGGCTCTGGCAAGCATCTAGCCAGCATGTCTGTGGGAGGGCACACAAAGGCCCATGGCCTGGAGAAAGCTCTAGCAGGCCCCGGACCCAGCAAACATCCAAAGTTAATTAGTAAATCTCCTTTCAAACTGCTGCTACTGTGTTGGGCCTCAGACTGATCAACTCAGCCCTCCCAGGTGTAAGCCCCACTGATATTCAAAGCCAGATTTTATGGGGTCTCATCTTTCTGGTGCTGATTCCCGGGGCCTGGTGTGCTGGGTCTGGGGGACTTTATCCCATCTCCCCTTCAGATTCACTCCTTCCCACTTATGAGTCGGGACGGGGGAAGGGCTTGGCTCCCAGTCCGTCATGGCTCTGCCCCTTTGCCCTCCTCTTTGTCATGAGCTTTGCCTGTACTGCTGCTTCCGGTCATTCTCAGATTTAGTTGCTGAGACGCGGTTGCTGCCTCTGTGTGTACACAGGACGGGGTTATCACAGAGACCTCCTGTTCTGCTGTCTTCCCACAATCCCCCTCAAAGCCTGACATTCTTTTTTTTTAAATTGAAGTATAGCTGATATACAATAAATATCTGAAACTCTTAATGCATATTTAGGCTAATACAGCTAGGATAACATTTTTGGTTAAGCCATCAGTTGTTTTAAACCTAGTGTCAGTAAAATGCAATATTCTCCTAGGAAGGTTTTAGCCTTTCTCAAGATTGGCATGAGATAATTTCTTAATAGAGCACCAGTGATTGTTCTTTATTAGTCAGCATGGTTTGTATTACCCTGATGGAGATGTGCCTGTCAGCTTTACTAGGAGAACAGCTCATGTAGACAGTGATAATCATTAGGAGCTCAGGGTAGCATTAATAAAGACTAATAGGAATTAGGATGATTGGACTTAATCGCACATTTATTTTTCTCTCAAGAATTACAGAAGCTGTTTCACATAGTTTGATTTTTTTATCCTGCATTTTTGTAGAATGGAAGATGGCGAACAAGAAGTCCTTCAGGTGCATTGACCTGTTGAGATTGGTACATGGTGGGTGAAAAAAACTCACATATGTAAATCTTAAGCCCAAACAAAAGAAAATATCATGATAGAATGGATTCATGAATGTTAGGTTTTTCTCATATGTCATGTTCTGAGAAGCAGTGATTATCAAATACCGACCGTTTGCTGTTTTAGTTGAGCTTTGAGACACAGTATCCCTTTTTCCCCAGGAATCTAAGGAGGGAGATAGTGTGGGATATAGAGTCATATTTTGAGGGGCTGCAAAGCAAGAGGTCGTCGTGATACTGGAGCAGGCAGCCATGGGCGAGTTCGAGGGACTGGAGGTCCCTTTGTAGAGCTTGGCCAAAGAAGTGGGGACATATCAGCTAAGACTGCCTGGCCTGCCTTAAGATAGGCTGTTGGGCTGCTGTCTGACTACCAGAGAATATGCTAGGAATCGTACTTCTCAACTCTCTGCTTTTTAAAATGGAATCTTAGCCTTAAGATGGAGTTCCTCCTTTCCTACTCTACTGTTTATATCTCAGCGCTTTTCATCATAAGCAGGAAAAAGTTAATCACGATGCTTGTCCTGTGTCTCTGCCCCACCTCATTCGCCCCTCAAGGAATGTGGGCCCTTGAAATCTTTCAAGGAAAAGTGGGTGTCGGTCACTCTTCTGTATCTGCTTCCTGTTGAGTAGGGGTGCTGTCCCTGCTTGTGGGTCCAGCAGTTCCCTGCTGTCTGTCAGGGAGAGGAGGGGTCACGGAGCCATAGGTGCAGAGGCAGACAGGGACCAGGGCGCATGAAAGGAGGCGGCAACTGAGGTGCGGGGCTGCTCATGTGCGTCTTCATCAGCGTTGGGCTGGATTGAAATCCTCTTTTGAGCACATCTGGAGTTGGATTATTTGTTCTGGAGGAAACAAACTTGATGAGATTAAGAATGAATGGTTGAATATGAGGACTAGAAATAGTCCAACCCTAATTGAAATGGTGGGTGGACACTGAAACATTTGGAGTTATAGCCAGACACTCTGAGGAAACTAGAATCCAGGATCTAGTCTATTTTACAGTGAACAGTATTAGAATCTAATAGTGATAAGGTTGCACTATTGAAACACAATTCTTCTTTCTCTCTAAAATTACTCTCATTTTTATTAATATAAAATAAGTTTAGCTTTAATAGAGTTGACCTGATTATTTACATAAGTGCAGCAAGAACAGCTATTGATGGCACAGGCTCTTTCAGATGTGCTTCGCTGGAACTTTTATAAGGAATTTCAGATTGAGCTTTTAAAGGCCTGTTGAGGCCAGGGGTTTTGACTTATTACTTCACTTAACAAAACCTTAAGGTTTCAGGTTACCACAAAGATTCTTAAGCTGTTTTTCAGTATACATAACACAATTATTATTAGCACAATTAATAAGTGAACTTATGTAGTTCACTCATTCCCAATTCCCCTTTTGTATGTTAACATATTTATAGGGTATTTCACTGCACAACTGTAACTGTTATACATGCCAATATGAGAAATTTAAGAGCTTATTCATTAAGAGTCAAATGCTCTGTTTTCAACTTCTGATTAGATCATAGAAAGTTCTGTACCATCCATTCATTGCACTGGTTACTTGAGAAGCTGGCCTCTGAATATTGTTGGACGGGAAGAAGAAAGGGACAGTAAGAAAGACAGTGGTGATCACAAACAGCGTTTTAGAGGTTTGAACCTTCGCAAGTCGGGCGTGGCCTCCAGAGCTGACCTAAGCCAGCGATAGTAGAATAGGTCACTGTGACTGCATGGTCTCAAAAGCACATGGACAAACCCTCATGATACAAGGGTCTGAGCGACCAGGTTCCTAGAGGCAGGCCACTGCTGCCTTGCACAATAGCAGTTTTTTCTCTTGCAGGAGGAGTTATTCCCTAGACCAATGGGCAGATGGGTCAAAGCATTCAATTGGCTTTTAATTACCCACTAGAATATTTTTCTGTAGATCTCCTTGTCCTGGACCCATGCATTGTATGATACCGTAGCTCTTGCAAGTATAGTGTTTTCTTCAAAATGTATTCTACATTTGATTGTTATTAGGAATGACAGATATTTTTATGACTTACCCTATAGTACTTTTTCTCCTAATGTCCTGCCTTCTGGGGGAAAATATCTACCCTTTGAATGAAAGCATTATAAAAAGAGTGCTCTGGGTTTTTTCCCCCAACCCTAAGAATTACCTATGATAACATAGTGGAGTGAGTGGAGTGCCTAGAATCAGAAGAGCCTGCTCAACCTAAATTTCACTGTGTGACCTCAGGCAAGCCATTTAAACTCTCTGTATCTCAGTTTCCTCATTTGTAGCAAGATATTTGATCTAAGTTTACTTCCAATTCTGATTCTGTGATTCTTTCCACAAGACTTAAGCATTAGGGTCAGAGTCTAGGACTTTGCTGTCCAGTACGGTAGCCACTGGACACGTGTGGCTGTTGAGCACTTGAAATGTAGCTAACAGAAGTGGAAATGAGCTGTAAACGTAAAATGCATACCTAATGATGAACACTGAGTATTAAAAGAGAAATAGGAAATTACATGAAAATGTTTTAGGAACACTGATATAAGTGAAACATTAGAATTTTACTTTTTACTTTTCTAATGTGACTACTAGAAAATTTTAAGTTACACATGTGACACACATTTCTCTTGGGCAGTGCTGGTTTAGAACACTTTATTTAGTGGGTATTATTGAAGTAAACCAAAGGTTATATCACAAGTATGATCACAAGTATGACTCTAAATGCTATTGTTTAAAGAATGATTGTTTATTGGTCCTTGATTTAATATAATCAAATAATTGTGAACTTCTAAGTATCATCTTTAAAACTTCTTTGAAATGAATAATCTTATTAGGAATGACAGATATTTTTATGGCAGATGCATTAATGATATATAATGATAGGCTGAAGTCAAGTAAAACTTGAGGTATATTTTGACACCGTACGGTAGTTACTAAATTGGTAAATCCATTGAGAAACAGAAAGACAAATGGGAAATTATAGACTAGGCACTTCTGTTCAATAATGAAATTAAATTATTTAATTACAGTGTCACAATGGGAAAAGGACATATTAGTCATATTTTTTATGGAATCTCTAGAGCCTGGAGTACAAGTAAATGAAACAGCCACTAGCTAGTTATTTGAGTGTGTTTAGTGGTGTCCGGTGTCAGGTCCATTCAAGCAGATCAATGCTGGGCTTTGGAACTGGGGATCCAGATTTGCCACGCACAGCGTTACGGGCAGAGCAGGGCTGACACCTAGAATTACCAGAAGCCATAAAGAAAAAGTGCTAAGTGGCCACTAGATGTCACTTCTCGATTGCTATAGTGTTTTATTTTCATTAATTTTTTCAAGTTCTATGGGGCCTCAGAGAGACATTTATGACTTTTGTGTTTAGAATAAGTCTGCTTCTCTGGTGTGGGTTATTTTATGAGAAATGCTTTTTAAGAGAAGTCTGGGAAAATCCTTCCCACATAATGTAAGAACTTTGGTTTAGGGAACTTTCCAAATGTGGCTCCAGTAAAAGCTGACCTTAGAAAGAAAACCCTTCCAAACTGGAGTATGCTTTCGGAACTCATTTGAGGCCATACGTGTGTGTGGCCCTGCTCACTGAGTTCTTGAGTTTAGCTTTGTCTTTCATACAGTTTTTTAGCTCTTTTCCAGCTTATTCTTGCCTATATATTGGTATTTTAAAAAATTCATGGTGAGTAATTTAAAAAGTGAAATCAAACTGTATTTTATAATGATTACTAGTTGAAGTGTTTTTTTAAAAAAAAACATTTATTAAACTCCATCCAAAAAAAGTTTATCCTTAGCCATTTTCTAAAGTGGAAACATAGACTAGATGACAGTCTGTGTTCTCAAGCCACTGGGCGGAGAGATACATTGAACTACGTCACTGTGTGCATTTTGGGGTGTGTTCCTCGGAGTACGCTGACTGCTGTAACAACTCTAAAACCTCAGTGGCTTAACCCCGTAAAGGGTCCTTTCTGCTCACATCACAGTCCGTGGCCTCCGTGCCTGCAGTCTCCGGCTGTCTCCTCCACCCTGCCCGCTCTCTGTCTTTCCATCTCTCAGCTTTGCTTTCCCCTGAACTGATTTTACCCCAGTGCCCCCACCCCTCCACCCCATAGTGATGTTGAGAAACTCCTAGACCGTATCGTTCTTATACCTGGCAATCTCAGTGGGAGGACAGCTTCTCTATTTGCTAGTAATTCACACAAAAATGTCCAGAGGCCTCTCTGGATCAACGTGGTTTATCCGGACTTCCCTGTGGTTGCCAGGCTGGAATATACAGATCAACCGGGCTATGGGCACCTGCCCAGATCTGGATTTAAAGGCATCCTTGGAAGGGAGATGATGTGGAAAACAGGCAACAGCCTGACAGTCTAGGGCCAGAGGAAGGAATGGGGACGCATACAGAAGCGACAATGGAAAACTCATAATTCATGATAGCTGATGATTTCCTAGGATTGTGGGTTTAGGTATGGGAGCTGAATCTTTGTTTTTGGTTGGGATTTTTTTGGAGGGGAAGGGTGGGCTGAGGAGAGGCAAGTTGTGTCACATATTTTTAACTGGGACCACCTTTTTTTGTTTAATACCTCAGTAGTAGTCACTGTGGAGGAGTCTGTCCATTGCTGGAGTGTGTGTTTAGAGAGTGAAAGAGTTGTTTTAAATTCTTGTCCAGCTATGTGTTTCTGGAATTGGAATTATTTTATTAGGCATTCCTCATTCTTGGCTCACCTTTAGTCTGTATTTCCCGTACTTTTTCTTGTCCAAGAGAAAATCTGTTCCATTTTTATGTTGGAGGTAAATACATCAAAAATCTGTGATAAAATATATATATATTTTAAAGATAACACTAAAAGAGAAGCCTAAAGTTATTATTCTTGAAAAATCTCATTTAGTCCAGTTCAAGATGGCAATGTAGGAAGATCCCAACCTCATCTTCCCCCACAGACACACCAGATCTACAGGGGGGAGAGGAGGTGGCACATGAGCTCACAGAGTCCTTATCTCTGTTGTGCCCTACCCTGTGCTTCTGGAACTGTGGTCTGTGTCAGCTTGGGAGGGACGCTACCGTGGGCTGGGCTGCTCCAGGTGGCTAGATCCCAGCCCGCACCCTGCATGCCTGTCCACATCCCTCTAATGCAAGCCCATGCCTTGAAACATGGCTAAGATGCCCAGGCACTTGTGCTACGACACCCAGACCAGTGCCCTCCTGGCCAATGAGCAGTTCGAAGGTTTGCTGGGCACCCCTTGCAGCCCTGATGTGCTCTCCCTCTGTGCCACGTACACAGCCATCTCTTCCACTGACTTCCAGCACGCGCCCATCAAGCCCTGGAATTTGTGTGCAGTGGGCCCAGCAGGGCTGCAAGCCCATCTTCATGAAGTACCACCGCTTGAGCATGGCTCACAAAGAGCTGCCATTTATGACCAGGACATGTGCTTCTCTCCCAAGGCCATTATCCCTGCAGACAGAGTGAGTTTTCTTATGAATTCTAGTAATATAAACCATAGAGGGGCAAGTAGTAAATGCTACTAATGTAAGCTTATCAGGGCCACGTAGAAGACTTATTTCCGAAACAGTTGTAAGTACGTCATTCAGTCTAAAGTTAAGGAGGTAAAGACCAAGTGCCATGGCATGACTGCAATAGTCGAAGGAGATTCTAAAGGCTTCTCAAGTAAACGTTCCCAGGGGCACCATTATACCTTTATATCAATTCTGGCTTCCTGTGCCCTCTCCTTAGTGAGGAATACATCATCATGGGCTATGAAGATGAAGAATGCTTCAGATTATTCTGGGTGAAAACTTCCACTGCTGAGAAATGGAATGATCAGCTTGCTAAAAAAAGATGTTTAACACTGGGATATGAAGCTCCATCATCTTAAACTGAGTAAAAGTGATTTTAGCCATCATAATTCTACTCAGAGTCAGAATTCTGGCAGGAATTCTGACCCTTGGCAAGCATGCCACTGAATTCTGAGAAGAACATAGTAGACCTTTATTGAAACTTGCACTGCTGGACTAGCCAAGGAAAATTGCGCTATTGAACAATACTATAATTCCATTATTGCACTATTCCATTACTTAGCACAAAAATTGTGTGATAACTGATATTACTTTTATTTTTTCACTTGTTTTCAGCTTTTCTCTCCCCCCCCCCCCACACACACACTTTTTGTGGTTGGGTACAGATCCTTAAATATATGTATTCTGTTTAACAATAACAGAGACATAATTTATAATAATTGTCAAAAGTTAAAGACAAGGAAAGAATCTTAAAAACAGTAAGAGAAAAGCAGCTTGTTAATGTAGAGGAGAATCCCCATAATCACAAGATTTTTTGGCAGAAACTTCACAGGCCAGAAGGGAGCGGCACTGTATATTCAAAGTGCTGAAAGAAAATAAACCCTGGTAGCCAAGAATATTATACCCAGCAGAGTTTTCTATGAGAAAGAGAGTATTCCATCCAAGCAAAAGCTAAAGAGTTCATCACCACGAGATCAGCCTTACAAGAAATGCTAAAGGGACTTATTAAAGCTGAAGTGAAAGGGCACTAATAAATAACAAGAAAATACATGAAAGTATAACTCTCACTAGGAAAGATAAATATAGGTAAAATTTAGAATCTAGTGTTGGAAAGGTGATGTGTTATTTACTTCTAAAGCTAGTATGAAGGTGAAAAGACAACAGTAAAAACAACTACAACAATTTGTTAATGGATACACAAGATGTAAATTCTGACTACAAAAACATAAAACTTGCTGGGGAAAGTAAAAATGTATAACTTCAGTATGTGTTCAGTATTAGGTTGTTTTCAACTTAAAGTAGACTGTTACTAGGTGGTGTATGTAAGCCTCGTGGCAGCCACAAAGCAAAAACTTATATGGATACACAAAACATAATGAGAAAAGGAATCTAAGTATACCACTAAAGAAAAAAAATCAAATCAGAAAGAGAGCAAGGAAAAAAGGTTTAAGACATCCAGGAGGCAATTAACAAAATGGCAATAAATCTGTACCTATCAATGATTACATTAAAGGCAATGGACTAAATTCAAAAGATATAGGGTGGCTGAATGGATAAAAAAAAAAAAAACAGGACTCATCTATGTGCTACAAGAGACTTCTTCAGACCTTAGAACACACAGAGCCTGAAAGTGAAGGAGTGGAAACAGATATTCCATGCCTGCAGGTGGGAACCAAAAAGAAAGCTGGGGTAGCTGTACTCATATCAGACAAAATAGATATTCAGCCAAAACCAATAACAGTTGACAAAGAAGGTCATTATATAATGATGAAGTCACTTCAAGAGGATAACATTTGTTAATATTTATGCACCCAACATGGGAGCACATAACTGTGTAAACATTAACAGACCCAAAGGGAGAAATAAACAGCAACAAAATAATATCCCACTCGCATTAATGGATAGGTCATCGAGACAGGAAATCAGTAAGGAAACATTGGCCTGAAGTCACAAGTTAGACTAGATAGACTTAACATATGCACAACATTCCATCCAAAAGCAAAATAATACCCATTTTTATCAAACACACATGGAACATTTTTCCAGACAGATAATATGTTAGGCCACAAAACAGATCTTAATGAATTTAAGAAGACTGAAATCATATCAAGCATCTTTTCTGACCATAATGGTATGACACTAGAAATCAATTACAAGAAGAAAACTGGAAATTTCACAAGTATGTGCAGATTAAACAACATGCTCCTGAATAACCAATGGGTCAAGGAAAAATACTTCAAGCCAAATAAAAATGGTAATACAATATGCCAAAATTTATGTTATGCAGCAAAAGCAGTTCTAAGAGGGACATTTAGAGCAATAAATACCTGTATTTATTACACAAGGAGCCAAGAGGCTAGAAAAACAAACTAAATCCAAAGTTAGTAAAAAGAAGGCAATTAAGATCAGAGGGAATATAAATGACAGAGACTAAAAAGACAATAGAAAAGATGAAAGTAAAAGTTGGTTCTTTGAAAGGATAAAGAAATAGACAAACTTTTATCAGACTTGTGAAGTAAAAAGAGGGAACTCAAAACCAGAAATAAGAGGAGACATGACAACTGATACCACAGAAATACAAAGGATCATAAGAAACTATTATGAACTATAATATGCCAACAAATTGGACAATAAAGATAATAAATTCCTAGAAACATACAATCTACCAAGACTGAATCTTGAAGAAAAATAGAAAGTCAAATAGACCTACTACTAGTAAGGAGATACACTCAATAATCAAAAACCCCTAACAAACAAGAACCCAGGAACAGATGGCTTCACTGATACACTCTACCAAACATTTGAAGAAGAAAACCAATCTTCCTCAAACTCTTCCAGAAATAGAAGAGTAGGGAACAGTTCACACTCATTTTACAAGGTCAGCATTATCCTGATACCAAAACCAGACAAGGAGAGTACAAGAAAAGGAAATCACAGGCCAATAACCCTGATGAAAATAGATACAAAAATGCCCAACAAAATATTAGCATGCTGAATTCATCAATACTTGATCATACACTATGATCAAATGGTATTTATTGCAAGGATGGGTTCAACATCTGCAAATCAATGTATTATACCAGATTTAAAAAATGAAGGATACAAACCATATGATCATACCAATAGATGCATGAAAAGCATTTGACAACCTTTCATGAGAAAAAATTTTCCACACAGTGCAGATAGAAAGAAACTACTTCAAAATAATCAAGGCCAGATACAAGTCCACACTGAACATCATACTCAATAGTGAAAAATTGAAAGTTTTTCCTTTAAGATCAGGAACAAGACAATACCTACTCCCATCACATATACTCAACATAGTATTGGAAGTCTTAGGGCAAATACTCAAGAAAAAGACATAAAAGTCATCTAAATTGAAAAGAAGTAAAATTGTCACTGTTTGCAGATAACATGATACTTCATATGGAAAATCCTGAAGACTACCACAAACCTGTTATAATAAATGAATTCAGTAAAGTTACAGGATACAAAAAAATCGATATACAGAAGTCAGTTGCATTTCTAGACATTAACAACAAACTATCACAAAGAGAAGTGAAAACAATATCATTTATAATTGCATGGAAAATAATACCTAATAACAGAGTTAAACTAAAGAGGTGAAAACCTGTACATTGAAAACTATAAGACACTGATGAAAGAAATTAAAGATAGAAGTAAATGGAAAGATATTCCATGCTCATGGACAGGAATATTGTTTAAATAGTCATACTATTAAAAGTAATCAACAGATTCAGCACAGTCCTTATCAAAATTCTGATGGCATTTTTCACAGAAATAGGACAAATGTAAAATTCATATGGAACCACAAAAGACCCTGAGACGCCAAAGCAATCTTAAGAACAAATATGGAGACACCACACTTCCCAATTTCAAACTATATCTCAAAGCTATAGTAACCAACACAGTATAGTATTGGCATTAAAAAAACACACAAACCAGTGGAACAGCATAGAGAGCCCAGACATAAATCCACAGGTAGATAGTCAAGTAATTCATGATAAAGGAGCCAAGAATATACAATTGGGAAAGGAAAGTCTCTTCAATACATAATTTCAGGAAAACTGGCAGCCATGTGCAAAAGAATACACCACTTACAAAAATCAACTTATAATGAATTGAAGAGTTGAACATAATAGACATTACAAAAAACTGCACAGCAAGAGAAACCATCAACAAAATAAGGCAATCTATTAAATGGGAGAAAATATTTGGAAATAATGTGATAAGGGCTTACTATCCAAAATATATAAAGAACTCAATACAACT